CTGATTGTGTACTTCTGGGCTTACAGCGAGGGCGAGGTACGACGAGCCATCTCTTGTTCTGTGAGCTTCATGACTGACCTGATTGTAGATCATTTGCGCAAGCCCCTGGTCTCTGCCCCAACGAGCCCGCTCCAGCGGTCCGCGCGTATAACCCACGACAAAACTCAACGACAGATATCGCCATCACCTTTCCCCCAAATCCATGTACTATATGCCGCGATGCCTCGACCTCGCAGGAGGATCCCAGAGGGACTCTCACCTGACAGAGAGGCGGAGCCTATATATTCAGCCAACAGACGAGCAAGACAATTGGTCTGGACGATCGGCAACCCCAAACAAACAAAGCACACAAAAAAAAGATTACTATCGAAAAACATTTCTTATTTTATCATCTATTTTATCACTCTGGCTCTTCAATCTCACCCAGATCGGAGCAACATCTGATCTCTCATGGCATCAAGCAGCGGCGTTTTCGTTTTAGGAATCTCTCAACCGTCATCTCGCGATGAGCGGTATTGGGAAGCAGGGCAGGATTTTACGAGAGCGAGAGAGAGTGAGAGAGGGCAGATGAAGCACGCTCAACGTCTCATACCCTGGGAGTGGCGGCAGCAGGACTCGACGTGAGAAGCCGAGGCCAGGCCGGCGGCCAGCAGACCTGTCTCAGCATTCTGAGGTTTCGCCTCGGCCAAGAACCTGCTCACCCGCGGTCTTCTAGTATCTGCCCCTTGGTCGCCACTACAGCAGGAGGCGTGCGCTGAGGCCCGGAGGAGACGGCACGGGCCACCCTGGGCCACGACGCCTGATCAGGTGGAGCAGGCAGCTAGCTAGCCAGCATCACAGTAATGTCAGCACAAGACCACAGCAATTCTCCGAAGCAGTGACGTCGTCCACACCCCTTGGTCCTCCGTCTAACGTGCTCTCTGGCTTTGCCCTTGCTTGCTGCAGCTAGGGTTGCGACCATGGCCCCTACGCAAGTTCATGCGTAACATGAGGAAAAAACGGACAAGCAGCTCAAACTCTCCAAGTGAGCATGTTTGTGTCGTGCAAGCGGACGTGATGCCTGTTCTCGGCCGCCGTTGTAAAGCATGTGGGGGAGAAAGGGGGTCCCAGCTTCGAAACATGTCGGAAACTGTGTGTTGGGAGGGACGACGGAGGGTGGGCGCCAATAGAGAGGGCGCCAGGAGGGGGCTGAGGCGACTGGGCGGGCTGGGCGTCTGATGTTCGGTCTGGCCTCGTTGAAAGGAACTTAATGATCACACTCTGCACCAAGATTGATGCCTTTCGTCTGGTCGTTCGTTTGGCCCATGCTTATTGTGAGACTTTTTTTTTTGAGTCCAATTCATACACCGCTGCTCTTTCTGGTGTTCTTGTGAAGGAGGGTTCTGATGACTGACTGGCCTTTCGACCAGCGGGGCTCACAACTCACTCGAGTTCAGGCCCCTCGGAGCCGCAAGGGCGCTAACCTGATTGGAGCAATCGTTGGTCGTGGAGGGTGGACAGACCCAGCGGCGGCTACGGGGAAGGGACATGTCTTCTCAAGCAACGCTGGACAGTCCTTTTGGCTGTTGACCTGGAAAGCCTGTCTCGGCGGCGTTCCCTTTCTTTCGAGGGGGTGGGACTTTCTCGAGTCCTCGCGGCCAGTCTGCGTCCATTGCGCACGCTGCTGAGACCCGGCAGCGACGGGAAGACATACTTTATTCTAGTCCAACTCTGAGTGAGCTGCTTGTCGTGTCATATCAAGATCACGAAGGACTTGGTATTGTGTTCAGAGCCCACCGTCAGTTTCCCCACAGCAGCCTCCGAGGGTTGTCAATTCGCGTTTAGGGGCGGAAATTCGACGGAGGCCGATAACCTCAGGAGGGTCGAGGCTACAACGGCGAGGGACGTGGGGCTGGGAGCACTGGCCTCGGGGGCACTTGAGTTCAGCGACGATATTTTTCGAAAGGCCAAAAGGTCCCTGCTAAACTCTTTTGTCGTTTCAACATGATCCTGGCACACTTCGTATACCTTTATTGAAAGGAACTCTAGCCTTGCAATAGGAGCCTGGCTTCACCCCGTGGACTGGTTCGGGCAGCGTGTGCAGCTCTTGAACACGCCCAGCTTACCTACCCAACTTCCCTGTCAACACCGCCAACCAGATTGGCCACGCAGTAGGCCGTTCATTTCACTTGCTGTGATCGCAAACTTCGCGCGCTTCGACAGAGGCTGACTAACGCACCGTCTGCGTCATCCCACAGGTTTCCTAAGTAGGATCCCTTAACCCAGTATGCCTTTCCGGCTATCGCGAGACATTCCGAGCCGCCATTGACATGCCCAACGTGCGGTTGTACATGCGCGCTGTGCATCCCATGCTCAAAGGGTAACAAAACTCCACGTCAAGGTAAGATGACTCCAGAACACTGCCAGGGTCAGAATCCCTACGAATGGGCTTGCTCTCAACTCACGTACGCAACGCTGATACTGATGACACAGGCACTAGCTTCTTCCTCACCTCAATTCTTGACCATGACCGCGAGGGTTGCGCAACTCACGCCACTGTTCAGGCAAGGAGCAAGGACGGCAGCCCCCTTCGAAGTAGGAAACACACATGCTCTGGAGTTCGGGAAGGTATCGCTGCGTCTTCCTGGGTCCTGGGCACTGTAGGGGTCAGGCGTGCCCAATCCCCAGGTCAGTCAAATACCTAGTACCTGTGCCATGGAAGGGGCTTACGCAGGGGATACTGGGCTGCAGACTGTTGGCAAACGTGTTTTTGGGGCCTCGATCGTCACGCCGAACTCACATAATCTGAAGGGCACCTAGCTTTGGGGGGCATGAGCCATCCAGGGCTACGGAGTAAAGCGCTGAGTACACCAGCCCCGCAAGCCTCCACACCAACACAGAAAAGCTCAGTCTCGGCCGGCTCGATGCAGCAAGGTGCTTGCTTCACTATGGCCCGCCGGTGACTGGGACCCTGCCAACCCCGTCTCGAGAACCGTGGTGACCCAGATCATGCTATGAACCACATGAGCCTCTACATAGGGTTCAGTCTCGCCGTAAGTCATTTACGATCAAACAATACAATGTGATGAGACGAAAGCAAGGTTGTGGTCAATGTCGGGTTTCTGTATTTGTATCAAAGCTGGCTGGTGAAGAGAATCTTCCCCAACCAGACGCCATTTGCGCCAGTCCTGGGAGAGCCCCCCTCTCCCCCCGCTCACCTCGCGATTTCCTTTCCTCTGACTGGCTTTGGCTGCGCCGATGCGGGGGGATGTATGCGACAAATACAAACAAGAAGCCCCGATCATCGATCCTTCCTGGCGCCTGAAAATATGGCGCCCTCGCATTTGTTTGCATCTACCCCTCATTTGCGGGAGTGACGTCGTCGCTATCATTACCAATAAATCCCTGGCCTGACCCCGTCACGTCATGATTAAAAGGTCAGGGGAGGGTGTGGGTTGAGCTCCGGGACAACGAGTGCTCCGGAGCGCCATCCGATCCGTTGTGCGATCGTGACTGACACTGGACGGGGCGCGTCTAGTGAGCGGCCATGGGGCCCTTGGAGTCGTTCTTCGGTCCCTGGCGGCCGGCCATCTGCAGGTTGACGACATGTCAGTCTTGTCTCTCGAATCTTGGTGGGCGGGGCAGCGGGGTGGAGGCGGGGTTCGCCGGTGGGGTGATCGCGATTGCAGGCAGAACGCGATCTGGAAGCAGGAATCAAAACGTACCTCGTAGGGCTGGGCGTCACCCTTCTCAAGGATCTGCTTGATGACCTTGTCCTCGTCCTCGCTGCCAAAGGCGTTCTCGAGCTCCTGCTTGGAGGCGGTGTCCAGATGGCTGTTGCCGATGAAGATCTTGAAGGCGGAGATGAAGTGGGCGAGGGGAACGCTCTTGTCGTCCTGCCACTTCTTGTAGGTCTCGGGGTCCTCAACGAGAACGCTGAACTCGCTGTTGGCGATCTTGTAAGTGACCTTGGTCTGGGAAACCTCTCCGCGAACCATGATTGCTGTTTTTGTGTGTGGTGGTTACTGTTGTGGTGGTAGTGAAGTGAGTTTGGTTGTCTGGAAGACAGAATTGAGGTGAGGAATTGCTTTTTGGGGGGGGGGGTATCTTGGGGAGTGATGGTATTGAGGGGAAGTGCGAGACACGAACGAGGGGAAAGGCTGATTTAATACCAGCGGAGGGGAGAGACAGGGACAGCTCAGCTCAGCTCATTCGATCCGGTCAAGCCCAGCTCATGGTGGAAGTTCTTGCCAGCTTGCGGTCACACTACGTCATCATCTCGGCATCGAGCTTCTACGGTACACCTGGTTTGACTAACGGCCCCTCTCTGCCCCGCCAGCCTGCCTGTCCAGCCTCACAGTGCTGCAAACACACTGTCTCACTGCCCCGCCCCGCGACATCTTTCCTCATGATTTCTTTCCTTTTCGACCTGGCCCGCTGGGCAAGCTTGAAATTAATTGAACTGGTCCAAGCACCCCCCACCCCTCAGCCGTTACGTCATTTCCAATTACCTGCCTACCTACGTGCCAGCACTGGAAAGACAACGAAACAGACCGGCCGGCCGGCTCCATGTCCGTTCTGAGCACCCGCTTCATGTGACATCCCACATTTGAGCTGCCCCTGCCAGCCCGCAGATCATCGCCTGTCATCGGCCTTTCCCCTGAATGGCGGCCGGCTCAAGCTCCTTAGCTGATGTGCCGTGTGCCAGTCGGGCAACGACCCGACATCAACCTTGCGCCTAGGTCACACCCGTGTTTGAAAGCCGCTCTTGTGCGCTGCCGTGACATTGATAATAAGGAGGGTAAATCTATGAGTTTTCCAGTCTCCCTGTCCGGTAAGGGGTATAAGCCATAGTGAAAAGGGACAAAAAGCCATCCAGCCATATATCTCATGCTCATGCAATCCAAACGCCCTTGATCAGTCATCAAACCCATCCTCCACCGTATTATGAATGCTACACATATGGGGTTCACCCTCTTCTGCAGCCCTCCGAGTCCACATGTTGGTTGAACCTGCTGCCTCTAACGGAAAAAACTGCGAATACCTTGTATCATTACGTCTCTGTTGAGCACGCCGACCTTGCCCCACCGGCTAGGCCCCGCCCCGTGCGCAAGTTTGGCCTTCTTCGCAGCCCGTTTGGCTGCCATAGAACAGGGCTCCTCTTTCACCGAACCGGTGGGTGTCGCCGAGCAGGGTCGGGAGGTTGGTGGCACCGGCCTACTCCTTCTTGTGCCCTTCCTGACAGTGCGGCTGCCTGTCGGGGACTCCTGTAGCGTCTTGATGTCCTTTCGGCCGACGTCTCTCATCACAACATCTTCGTCTTGGTGTTGAGCTTCTGCACTCCCTTGACCGAGAACCTCGATTGGCGTCGGAGCCAACGTAGCCCCCGTAGCCGTGCTGCCTGAATCCTTCTTCTCGGACTCGTCCCGAATCCGATGCAAAATGGCGCCACAGGTCGGTCCGGTCTGGAGGTCGCCGTCTTGCTCGGTCCATGATCGGCTCACTCTCGTTAACTTGGATACTGGTCTCCGCATTTCGAGAACATCGGCAGCCTCGTCTTCGCCGATGAGTTTCGTCATGCTCACAACACTGTTCGACCGCTTCGTAAAAGAACTAGTAATGCTTGTGACACTCAGCTTCCGCATCATAGTGCTCGCGGAGCTTCTGACAAGATTCTCACTCCTCGACCTCCCTGTCATGCTAGGGAAAGGGAGAACGTCACGACTCCAGATATCCGACAGCAGGGCTTCGAGTCGCGCGCGCTCGGCACGATGCGGTGCCAGCACCGGCACTCTGTATGCAGAGGTTGATAAGAGCGACTGCGATCTGTTGATCGTTGGGTTCAGAGGCAATGCAGGTGCCTCGCGAACGTCACTGGTGTTCTTCAGAATGACTTGGCATAGAGGTGTTTTCGAGCCAATGGTCATCGCCCGATGCATGGAAATGCGTCGTGCCACCGTACCTAATTCGTACTCAGTCGCTTGAACAAACATCGCGCGGGAGAAAGATTCAAACTGACCTGGTTTTCCAAAGACTGTGCCCAGGCTTCGAATGTCGAGCGACATTGAGCTGTACAACAGGTTGGGATCGGATTGCTCTTGACATTCCTTCGCTGACTGCTCCAGCCGGCCACGCCATTCGTCACGTTCTCGGGGATTACATGCCGTCATAACCATTTCGTACAATTGAGAATCACACTCAAAGACGATCTTCCACGAGAAAGGTGCAGTGTGGCACTGTAGTCCTATTGAAATTGTGAATTCTGTGGAATTTTAGAGGAGCTGGGCCAACCAAGTGGTGACGTACCTCGACCATTATCAGGCTCCTCAACTTTGATGCCATTGAGGCTGATGCATGCCTCAATCGTGTAAATCTGATCAGCCTTCCCTGCCGACGCCAGACACAGCACGTCATTATAGAGAAGGCAGACCATGTATCGGCCACAAACACCCTCATGAGCCTGCCAGCAGACGTGAAGGGCACCGCAAAGTTCGACGTGGCCAAATGAACGTATCCTGGTCTTCGTCGCCGCGTCGATGCGCTATGCTAAGGTTAGCCCACCCTACTTCTTTTCGAGAATCGTCCCAAACTTACTTGATCAACGAAGACAAGACGATCCTGTAAGATCCATGTCTTTTGCAGGGTGGTCCTCATAAAGGCGTCATTCGTGGCACGGTTGATTTCGGCTGTTGCCTCTCGAAGCCGTAACAGAGCACTTTCGACCTCCATATGAGAATTTGGGTCATCGACTACAGGGGTGTACTTGAGGAGCTCGGCAAAAAGCAAAGGATATTTACACATCCTTTGAATCGGCTACACATAGATCAGGACATAGCCCCCCAACAATATAACGCAGTCTACTCACCTTGACAAGAAGATCTCCAATAGTTAGCGATTTCCTCGACTGGTCGAACCGGGAGTTCACGGGACCTAAAGAGGATGCCAAAGCCTCCAATCCCTTTTGATAATCCTCCCAGTGTGGCATTTTGCGCTGTGTCGAAGCCACGTCTTTGATCATCATCTCATACTTAGCTCCATATTCTTCATAGATGAAGAACTGGTTCATCTGTTGACGTCAGATGTTTCTCCATGAAAGAGGCTGAAAAAGAGGACTCCATACCTTCCTGCTGAAAACCCTCGCAACATCACCTGCTATTTGAGCTTCTGATCCAATGCTTGGTGCATCTCTGATCCATGGCGCGGGGTGGCGGTGCTCCGGAACGGCGTCGAGGCTGCGCCATCTTCGGTGGCCTTGACCTGTGGACGCAGCCGGAGGCCGAGGAAAGTCAGGCAGCGCATACTCCGAGTCTGGAACAACGCGATGAAGATCACTGAGGATTTCCTCGTGCAACTGGATAATGTCTGTGAGGTTACGATTAATCGAAGAACGCATGCCAAGCGGCAGCGTTGGAAGAGAAGCGAGAAGCGTGACGTAAACCTAAATGCCGTCAGTATCAAAGAACTAACAAGCCAACACACTCTCGCGTGCTCACATTCATGAGGAAACGAACATCGCCGATGTACCCTTCCTCGGTGCTGATAAGCTCTTCGAGAATGCGGCGGCGCTGCAGCGATCGCTCGGTGGCAGCTGGATCATGGGCTAATGTCCGGTCTCCGTAGCCACTATCCTCTGACACTCTCGCAGCAGTAAAAGACGCCCTGCTACTACGTTCAGTCCGTGAGTGCCTGCAAGCTAGGCCTGGGTCCTTCATCTGACGCGTGACGATGCTGGCACTAGCTAGACTGACGCTGGCGCTTTTCACAGCTGCGACAAAATCGAAGGACGAGCCCGAGGACGAAGACCTGTGATGGGCCCTCCTTGGAGACTGTGGCGGCCAGCAGACAGGGCTGGAAGGATCTCCGGAGGTGTCGTGGCCGTTGTCAACTGAATCGGCACGGTGCCTGGCTCGACGGTGCAGGGCTTTCATCCACTTGCGGAAGGGAACGCCGTCCTCAAGTAGCCGATCGTTGCTTGAGCCCCGCGCAAGGCACATGGCCTGTCCTTTGGGTGGCAATGAGTACGGGCTGGCACCGACGGAGTGGCGCATGTCGTTGTCGTGGAGAGGAATACCGAAAGCTGTCATGCTATCCAAGGTGTTCAAGACGTCGATGCCCTCAATGTGCAAGCCATCCAAGTAAGACGAGAGCTCGACATGATCGAAGGATTCATCCAGGTCACTGGCGAAATCGATGTGACGCGGCGGATAAGGAACAGGCCTCGTCGGTTCGGGTTGAAGGGCGATACGGAGGGACGAGTCTGAACAAGAGGCCAGAGAGGGAGCGTCGACAAGCGCCATAGTGGGCTCACGGACAATAGCCAAATCCAAGAAAACAGCGAGTAAGATGCAGATCGAACTCCAGGATACCAAAAAGATTGAGATCCTGTTTGGCGAACTCAATACATGCTGTCGCGGTAGCAGGATGAAGGTCGCAAAGCTACTCTGACCATCTGGCGTCTCGCGCAAGCAGCTGCTTGGAAGTTGAGATTCTCCAAGGTTTGACGATGCCAAGGCGGGAGGTAAGACGGCGGTAATTGGAGTTGATGCAGATGTACAGGTCGGGCAACTGTCAGGCAGCCTTGGGCCGGACAGAGAAGGGGGGAGGCAGGAAGGAGGAAGGGCGGAACGGAAGGATGGAGATCAAGAGCTGGTATGTGTTGGCCAGAATACAGCAAGCGCGGTGAGATAGGACAAGATCTGGACCTGGGCAGGCGAAGGTGAATGACGCCTTCCTACCCTGCGTGGGTGTTTTCTGCTCACGCTCAGTATGAGATTGCGTCTCACCGGGGCGCATAAGTGGGTTGAGGCAGGCAGAAGAAGCGAGAAGGAAAGAAAAAAGCAGCAGTAGATTCAGACAGTCGAGTTGGCAGGGAAGAATCATGTCTGGGGCACGCACAGTAATACACCGACTTTCAAGAGGCCAGCTCCTGTTGTCTTTGAAAAGGATCCGTCTCGAGGGGCGACATGGCCTCGACTTCGGTCGCCTTGCGATGAAGCGATTCTTGCGTTTCTGCTCTCGGGAATTAAGGTCTCCTAGCTTCGCCTCGATCGAAGCCGTATCTCGAGACTAAAAGCTGCAAGTGGAGGTGATACCACAGCGTCGGAACTGCTGTGACCACTCACCAGTGCCACTTGCGAGCGAATCGGTCTTAGGGGTTGCTTGTTGACGAATGTGCTTGGGGATCAACAACAAGGAATGCGTGCCGCTACGGCATGTAATGCCAATACCGGGCCAAGGAATATGTAGATGGTCCCAGAGCTCCAGTAGCATTGTCCCACGCTGCGTCGCCTCGTCTGGCCGCCGGCCGACAGGAGGGCTCAGCCTGGTACGACGCATAGATCTACGGCCATCTCACCTCAGGCGCTCCCGGCTGGGACAAGAGAGTTGCACAAGCGGAGTGTTCGGGTCGGAGTTGGAGGAGGAGGCGTGCATAAGTGCTCCCCATGGCTGAAGCCATGATGCGCGAGACCGGAGGGAGATGAAGGCGAGACACGGCAGGCCGGGGCCACTGAGCATCAAGCATGAACCCACAGGGCCCAGGGACCAGGACATGACGGCAACTAATCAAGGTCCATCGAGATCTAGCTGCCGCGCTGATCTAAATGTAAGAATCGCATGCTGCTGGGAAAAATGGGGAAAAGGGCCGAGCTCCGTCATGCCATGTTGTCAAAATCTCAAAATCACGACGTCAAGCTGTGAAGCTGCTTCGGATGAGATGGGCAGCTCAATGTACCTAGGTACCTTACCTAGGTAGGTAGGTAGGTAGCTAGCTTTATTAGCGTTGTGAGGGGACGAGGCTTGGGCATGTCCCCAGGAGTCCCCAATGGGGGTGAGATGTGGCGCTGGTCCCGAACAGTCCCCTGGGAAGTACTCTGGGACACGGGTTGAGGCCAGCCAACCCCAGCCGCGCCACATTTGACCCTCGAGCCACGAGTAAAGTCCCCCCACGCCAGCCAGGTTGCTTTGCCGGCGTACACCGAACATGGCGATTCTGGAGGGGAGGGGAGGAACGACATGATGACTGATGACAGTCATGAGACAAGATCAGTCAGCCCAACCTCCTCCACCTTTCCTCCCCAGGTGTTGGCCAGGTCAGGGATCTATCAGCGAGGCCGACACCTAACCAGCATTGAGATGGAAAGACTTCCGCATCGGCGCACACTCGAGTCAGCTAATTGGCCACTGCCCCGCGCTCGCCTCCGCTGGCGGTTCAAAGGCACCAACCTCGTTCGCCCGTTCCTTGTTCCTTGAGGATACGCCCTGACTGGCCAGTCGTCTCCGCTAGATCTTCTGGAAGGGGCCTTCAGGGAAGGGGGGTCACGCCTGCTACACAGTGCACAGCACATTTTGGGCCTAGATGCGCACCAAACCTAACCAGAAGCGGGCAAGCTCGACCCTAGCTGTTCCTTTCAATACGCCCATGGCGAAAAAGGGTCCTGTAACCGGTGCCAAACCAGTGAACGAACACGTATTCTGTAAGGCAAGGTACGGTACCACCCAAAAAAACCAGGACACTTCAGATCGCCGGCCCTGCGCTCGACTCTCTCGCCAGACTACATCCCCCTCCAACAGAACAGGACACCTTACGTAGTGGAGGTCAAGAACTGCGTGGAAACTCTTGGTGTTTCTTGTCGTTGCCCAGACCCATGGTCGTTGACCCGTCGTTGCCTCCTAGCCCCACTGCCTACGCAATAAGATGCCTTGTGTCTAAAGCCTCTTCAACTCTCGTCCCTACTTCACCTTTTTCCCAAGTCCCCGAATCAAGGCAACTGTTTCTCCCGAGCAACAACACCAGTCCTCCCACCGAGAGAACTTGAGCGCAAGCACGACCGCCATATCAATCCTTTGGAGAACCTCTTTCCCCGAACGCAGCCACTCTGCGCCCCGCGCGCGCCTTTGCGATGGAGGACGCCTTTGCGAAACCCGTCGATGAGGTCCTGGCTCACTTTGATGTCGACGTCAAGACCGGCCTCAAAGACGACCAGGTCGTTTCGCTGCGGTCTCAGCACGGCAGAAATGGTAAGTTTCTCCCCCGAGCACTCTTTCTTCACCTTGCGCGCCTCTGCCTGTCGAACTTTCTGCGAACCAAGCTGACGCAACCTCTCCTCGCAGTGATCCCCGAGGAACCCCCCACACCCATTTGGGAGCTCATTCTGGAGCAATTCAAGGACCAGCTCGTCATTATCCTCCTGGGCTCGGCTGCTGTTTCTTTCGTTCTTGCCCTTTTCGACGACGAGGAAGGCTGGAGCGCATTCGTCGACCCAGCAGTGGTACGTAATCCCCGGGCCGCGCCCCCCACCTACCAAGACTTTCCAACGCTAATCATGCCGGTATTCCCAGATCCTCACCATCCTGATCCTCAACGCCGTCGTTGGCGTTTCGCAGGAGAGCAGTGCCGAGAAGGCCATTGCCGCTCTTCAGGAATACTCGGCCAACGAGGCCAACGTTCTCCGCAATGGCCACGTCTCTCGTGTCAGGGCCGAGGAGCTCGTGCCCGGCGATATCATCACCGTCAACGTTGGCGATCGTGTCCCCGCTGATTGCAGGGTTGTCGCCATTGAGAGCAATGCTTTCGCCATGGACCAGGCCATCTTGACTGGCGAGAGCGAGAGCGTCGGCAAGGATCACACCGCCGTCGTCAATGATGAGAAGGCAGTGTTGCAGGACCAGGTCAACATACTCTTTTCTGGCACCACCGTCGTTGTGGGACGCGCCAAGGCCGTCGTCGTCTTGACCGGTACCGGCACCGCCATCGGTGATATCCATGAGAGTATCACTGCCCAAATCTCTGAACCTACCCCTCTGAAGCAGAAGCTCAACGATTTTGGCGACAGTCTGGCCAAGGTCATTACCGTCATCTGCATCCTCGTCTGGCTCATCAACATCCCTCACTTCAACGATCCCAGCCATGGAACCTGGACCAAGGGTGCTATCTACTACCTCAAGATTGCCGTGTCTCTCGGTGTCGCCGCCATCCCTGAGGGCCTGGCTGTCGTCATTACGACTTGTCTGGCTCTGGGCACTCGCAAGATGGCCGCCAAGAATGCCGTTGTCCGCAGCCTGCCTTCAGTCGAGACTCTCGGCAGCTGCAGCGTCATCTGCTCTGACAAGACCGGTACCCTGACAACGAACCAGATGAGCGTCAACAAGGTCGTCTACCTGAATGAGTCCGGAACAGACCTCATCGAGCTCGATGTCGAGGGTTCTACCTTTAGCCCCAAGGGTGCCATCACTTCCAACGGCCAGCTTGTCAAGGACCTTCCCCGCTCATCCCATACTGTCCGCCAGATCACTGAGGTGGCTGCTCTCTGCAACGATTCCAAGCTGGCTTACGACCCCAAGACTGACTCCTATTCCAACGTTGGTGAACCTACCGAAGGTGCTCTCCGCGTGCTTGTCGAGAAGCTTGGTCCCAGCGCCCCCGCTAGCTCAGCCCCTGATGCTTTCCTCCACCACGCCAGCGCCCACTACGAGAACCAGTACCGCCGCCTCGCCACGTATGAGTTCTCTCGTGACCGCAAGTCCATGTCAGTTGTTGTCCAGAACGGCAAGGAGCAGAAGCTTCTTGTTAAGGGCGCGCCCGAGTCTATCCTTGAACGTTGCTCCCACACGCTCCTCGGCGCCGATGGCAAGCGCCAGGCTCTAGACCGCAAGACGCAAGACCTCATCACCAAGGAAATCGTCGAGTATGGCAACCGGGGCATGCGTGTCATTGCTCTCGCCAGCATTGAGAACGTTGGCAACAACGCACTTCTGAAGAAAGCAAAGTCGACCGCCCAGTATGCTGAACTTGAGCAGAACATGACTTTTGTTGGTCTCGTCGGCATGCTGGACCCTCCTCGTGAGGAGGTGGCCACTTCGATCCGCAAGTGCAAGGAGGCTGGCATCCGCGTCATCGTTATCACTGGAGACAACCGCAACACCGCTGAGAGCATCTGCCGTCAAATCGGCGTCTTTGGCGAGAACGAAGACCTTACCGGCAAGTCTTTCACTGGCCGCGAGTTTGATAATCTGACCGCTCGCGAGGCCATTGAGGCTGCCCGCACCGCTTCTCTGTTCTCTCGCGTCGAGCCTAGCCACAAGTCCAAGCTCGTTGATCTTCTTCAGCAAGCCGGCGAAGTTGTTGCCATGACTGGTGACGGCGTCAACGATGCCCCTGCTCTGAAGAAGGCTGATATCGGTGTTGCCATGGGATCCGGCACTGATGTCGCCAAGCTCGCCGCTGACATGGTTCTCGCTGATGACAACTTTGCCACCATCGAGGTCGCCATTGAGGAGGGCCGTTCCATCTACAATAACACCCAGCAATTCATTCGGTACCTTATCTCATCCAACATTGGCGAGGTTGTCTCCATCTTCCTCACCGCTGCTCTCGGCATGCCCGAGGCTCTGATCCCCGTCCAGCTTCTCTGGGTCAACCTCGTCACTGATGGTCTCCCTGCCACCGCCCTTTCGTTCAACCCCCCCGATCACGACATCATGAAGCGCCAGCCTCGCAAGCGTGACGAACGCCTTATCGGCGGATGGCTGTTCTTCCGCTACATGGTAATCGGCACTTACGTTGGCCTGGCCACTGTTGCCGGCTACGCTTGGTGGTTCATGTACAACCCAGAGGGCCCGCAGATTACCTTTAACCAGCTCTCCAGCTTCCACCGCTGCTCGACGCAGTTCCCTGAGATTGGCTGCCAAATGTTCTCTAACGACATGGCCAAGTCAGCCTCTACCGTCTCCCTTTCCATCCTCGTCGTCATCGAAATGTTCAACGCCGTCAATGCGCTGTCCTCCAGCGAGTCCCTCCTCACCCTTCCTCTCTGGGAGAACATGATGCTCGTCTACGCCATTGCTTTGTCCATGGCTCTTCATTTCGCCCTGCTCTACACACCGGTTCTGCAGAGCCTATTCTCGATCTTGCCGTTGAACTGGATCGAGTGGAAGGCTGTCCTCTGGATCAGCGCTCCCGTCATGTGAGTTTTCCCGTTCTTGGCTAAATTGATCACTACTAACACAAGCCAGTCTTATCGACGAGGGTCTCAAATTGATTGAGAGGTCGTTCTTCATGCAGACCAAGACGGTCGAGGCTATCAAGGCAAAGAAGGCCCAATAAAAGACGAATGTAGAGGGTCGTTTCGGGCTAGATCGATAGAGAAGTGTACCATACTATAGAGTGAGATACATTGCTTGCCTCGAGCTCTCCGCCTGTAAAGACTTGATAGCCGTTTCAGACTGCCAAAAGTAGAAGAGAAAGTCGTTCAAAGTCCAAAAAAAATACAATGTCCTTCAGTTTCATTATCAGTCATGATTCAAATTTCAGTGACGTGTCGACCATGTCTATTGATCATTACGCCGGGTCTGTTGATACAAGATACACGCGCATGTGATGAAGCTGGGATCTCTGTCTGCCCATCCAGCATACCGATGTAACGTTCTGCCACGCTCTCCTGTTCTGCTCTGCCCCCGCCTGCTGCTTGTGCGGAGTACCTTAATCTTGCCTGCCCTTGAGCAGCCTCTTGGTAACCTTGTCCTTCTCAATAATGTAGACGTGCGCGCCCCAGCCGGACAGGGCGTCGCGATCGACGGCGTTGAGAAGGGACTGAGAGATGGTCTCGAAAAGCTCATCGGGGCCCTGGAAGTCACGCGAATTAATACCCCGACCGCCGCGGCAGTTGCTGCACCGCAACAAGGAGGAGAAAATCTCACCAGATCAGGCTCCCACAAGCTCTCGCACATGCCGAACAGCTGCTCGGACGCCGTGCCGGAGACGATAAAGTCCTTGGCAAAGTCGATGCAGCCGATCGAGTCGAAGCCGCAGATGAAGGGCTTCCCCGTCTTGGGGTCGAGGCCGGCGACGACGGGGGAGACAAAGTAGGGGCCGAAGCGGCGCTCGTAGAGGGACGAGGAGACGAGGTTCGCAAAGGTGCGGGGCGCGATGTTGCGCTCCTCGCGGAGACGGTACATGTTGGACTTGTAGCGGAAGAGGTCGCCGACGGTGGTGACATCCGTGGCAAGGCCCGTGAGGCCGAGGAAGACGTCGCCGTACTGGAAGATCTTTGGGAAGTTGTTGGACACGGTCAGGGCCTGGAGGCCGAGGCGCAGGTCGCAGGCTATCGCGACGCAGTCCTTGCCCACCATTGCCACGCAGGCGCCGCCGTCTGGGATGAGATTGTTAGGGGGAGGACTCGAGGGAGGAGAGATATGAACGGACTTATGGAGAAGGGGGAGCTCTGGGAGGGTGATTAGCTGGAGCCGTGGAGGGGGGATTGAGGGTGCTCGTTTGATGGACATACCATGTTGGCTCTGTGGTCAGGAGACCTCTGCAGCTGTTATCGGATCGGGAACGCTGTCGGGCAGCCTCGTGTCAGGATTCGATGGAAGGAACGTCGTGGAAATCGTCAAGTTGTGTGATGGTGCTGCTGTCGGGGAAGGTCGTCACGATGGATTCGATAGCTGCAGGGTGGGAAGGTCGGGGCAGGTCGAATGCCAGTTGCATCCATTAGCCAGCTGGAGAGCAAGGCAAACACGACATGGCGCGGCAGCGGTGGTCGATTTAGACCCATTTGTCTTCTTGTGGAGCTCTATCATTGGTGGGAGCTCCTCAACCAGGGACGCTGAGATAAGCCCCGTTCGCCTTACGCATCCCTCGATAACAAGATGCTGCCTACGTCTCCGCGCAATGTGGTAATATGCCCTCTCGCCGAGACCACGACTTTGGCCTGCGAGAAAGACTACGTGTCTTCGGCCTTTCGTGTGCATGCAAGCTTGTTGGTTTACCACCTGTATCTTACAAAATCGCAAGCCTGGGTGCCGAGCTTCGGTCCGGTTCCACCGAGTTCGACCCTCATCATCAAACGTACCACGTTCGCTGATGACCTATGCTACGCCCGCTACCCCACCAAGCACCACTTGACCCTACAGCGAAGCAACCAGCGACGACGGTCCAACTCCTGATTCCTAGCAGGGTGAATGTCAACACTAAGGTATTTGAGAAGAAAGACAACAATACAAAGAAAAAGTGGCATCAGATCATGGCGTCTTACGTTACCGTCATCGCCACTGACTTGCGCCGGACAACGGTCAAGGTCAACCCTGGAACATACATGACAGACGTTCTCCAAGAGGCTTGCAAGAAGCTCAACCTCAGCAGCGACAAATATCTCTTCAAGTATGTCCATCCTTGACAGCCCTCCAGCCCCGCGCTGACAAGTCAAGACATAAACAGAAGCAAGTCGATCTTTCGGTTCTTTGGCGCCAAGCAGGCCTCATCCCCGGCGCAAAGCTTGAGCTCGTCCAAAAGTCAAACACACCCTCCGCCGTATCCGTAGCCCTTCAGCTCCCCTCCCCCGAATCCAATGCGACTCCAAACGGACGTGTTGTCGACAAGTTCTCCAGCGAGTCCTCATTATGGAAAGTTCTGCGCCAATTCGAAACCCGGGTCTCGAGCCAGGGGAAGAACCTCAACCTGACGGCGCGGGGCGTGGCGCAGACAACGGCTGGTGGCCAGACTGGTAGCGGCCAGCTGTTCTACGAAACACCGGTCCTCAACATCATGGGCAGGGAGCTGGCCTCCTTTGCGGACTTTCAGAAAACCCTATCCCAGCTGGGATACAACTCGGGCAGCGTGTTGATACGCCTGTCGTTCAGAAAGACCGACAAAACGCTGTTCGAGTCCATGACGGAGATCAGTCAGTTCTTTGCGGACGTGGAGGCTGAAGAGAAAGAAGCCGCGACTGTGCCCGCAACTACGGCTACTGTCCCTGAGACGGTGGCGCAACCCGAGCCTGACAGCACAGCTGAGCAGTCAACGGAAGCGCAAGTTGCTTCGGTTCCTGAACCGGCTTCAGCTCAGCCCGAACAAACTCTTAGTGACGCCATGGATGTCGACCCTGCACCTATCGCCCTGCCTTCAGACCCGTTGCAGCCAGTAGGCGTCTTTCAAGCGCCCACAGGCACGACAATAGCTGCGGCAGCCATGCCCATGTCCGAGAGTGACTTCACGCCGTCCATTCAACAAGCGCAACTGCACCAGGCGCGACTCCTGCATAGCTCCCATAACAAACGCCTGCCATCGGACAAGGAGATCGAAGAGAAGGCGCAAGCCGAAGAGGCGAAACTAGCCTCTGTATCCTCCGTTCCTGTCAAGGTTCGTTTCCCCGACAACACATCAGCTCAATGGGTGTTTGGTCCTGAGGCGACCGGCGCTGTGCTTTACAAGGCGGTGCGGTCCGTCATGGCCAATGGCGGACAAAAGTTCCGGCTCGTGTTGCCGGGAGGCAAGGATGTCGTCAAGGATAGCCGAGGCCCCAACACTCTGCTGATCCACGACTACAAGATGACGCGCAGCGTGCTCGTCAACTTTGTGTGGGACGACAGCGTGCCGGGGGACGTGAGGAAACAGGCTTTCCTGAAGGGTAGCGTTGCACAACGCGCGACGGCAGTCAAGGTACCGGACTTGCCCAAGGAGCAGGAGGTGGACGACCGAGCTCCGGTTGTACCGAGCTCCAAACCAGAAGGCAGCGATCGGGGGGATGGAGGCGCAGGGAAGAAGCTACCCAAGTGGCTCAAGTTGCCTGGCAAGAAATAGACATCGCTAACACGGGACATCATGAGAAGGCACATAGAATGATCACCACAAGACACAAGCGATGCATATAAATGAAAGAGGAGAAAGTGAAGGCGCAAGCTGGAATTTCCTTGCTGAAATCGTTGGTATTGGTATTTCTCATGACCTGCTAGCCGCCACTCCGTGAAAGCCGCAGTAAACCGTTATATTTTCCTCAGAGGAAAATGCCATGAGGGGTCCTCTTTTTTCTTCTGTAGGACCGCCGCCATTTTGTCGCCCGCACGCCGAAACCCAGATGCCCCTATTCAACTTCCCAGATCAACCCACGTCGAGTCGTGAAAGCATTTAGTGGGCGGCACGGCGAGACTCAGCGATGACACGCTGGAGCTCGTCGACCTTGCTCTTGGCGCGGCCGAAGGTTCCGAGCTGGTTGTGGTGTTAGTATAGAGTGCAGAGCAGCCGTTGTGTCGTGGAGCCTTACCCTCTTCTTGGCGAGCTTACGGGCGCGCTTGTCCTTGCTGTTGCGAAGGAGTTCGATGACGCGGCGCTCGTAGGGGGCGAGGCTAGAGACCCGTTAGCATCTGAGCTTGATTCAATTTGCAGAGCGAGCGCGGGACGTTGGAGGTAGAGCCCAGTCGATCAGACAGCAGCCAGCGAGCAATGTTGGTTGACATCATTGCTCCCAGACCGCCGCCTCATCCCAAACCTCTGCCTCCGCCTCCCGCCTCTCCATCTCATAGTGTGTGGCTTGAACGTACCCAGACACCTCACGGACAACCTCGCGGACGAAGTTGGTGCGCTTGCTGATGCGGCCCTTCTGGGAAGAGATGCGGGGCTTAGCGACGCGAGGGGTGGTCTTCTGTTAGATTGAATGGCTGGTCAGCCTTACGTTGTCCATCGTCTGCAAATGCGAGCACAGTTGCTCAGGGAGTCGGATGCAGAGATCCTCCAGGAGGTGAGACACGTACGTGACCCTTGTTGAGGCCGACGGCAAGGCCGGTGCGGGTGGACTGTTCCTTCGCCATTGTTGTCGTCGGGTTGGGCGATGTTGTCGTCGGTTGTCGTTGGGCGATGGGGAGGAGAGGGAAAGTCAACTTCGGGGTCGCGGCGGGATAATCTGAAAATTGGCCAGCTGGGGGGTGGGGCCTGGACGAAAATTCGCAGTTTGTGCGGTCACGTGGGCATAGAGGGTAGCGATGATTTCTTGTGTGCGTTGTTATCGATAAGCCTATGCTTGTTCTGGGCTTAGCGAGTAGAACTTGGGGTCCACCTCGTTCAATCCACTTACACTGGAACTGCAGCCTCTGAAGTCGTTGCCCGGTGGCTTTGCCGTTTCCACCTCTTTATTGAATCATGATTGCTGTACGGCACACCATCCAGAACTCTGAACACGAACCCCAGTAATCACCGAAGCTGTGATAGATTTCTTTGTTTTGGCCGGAGGTGACACGACGTGACTAATTATTTCTGCAACTGGCCGAGCTTACTATTAGGTCCTGGTGCTTGGCAACAGTGCACTGGCAGTCGACCTTGGCCGGGTTTCCACAAAGGCATGATTTCTATCAGAAGCAAGTCCCAGGGTGTCATTCATTAAGCTGCACCGCACCGTCTTACGCGTCCTTAATAGGAGAACGACTATTTGCTCGGCCCTTATTAACTATTTATTCTGCCCGATAGGGGTAAAGCTATAATAGATAGGGGTTAAGCTACGAATATAGCGCTACTACTAAAATTAGCTATAGTAACTATATACCTATACTCGTCTCTTATACCTTTAAGTCTCTCGATGAATTCCGAGCTAAAGACTAGCTATAGCTAGCTAATAAAGTAACCTAAGTAGCCCCCTAAAGCTCTATAGCCCCCTAAGGCTCTATAGCTACCCTATCTATCTATTAAATTCTTAATACCCTTAAATATAATAATACTACTAAATATACCTATTCTAAGCCCTCTAGATATCGCTAATGCTTTATTTTATCGTTAAACGAAGCCTCTCTAATACCTCCTTTATTAATAGACTTACCGACTATTACTAAAGGTCCTATTATCTCCTTTACTATAGATATATACGAAGAGCTACTTAAAACCGTTTACGACTATTACGCTTACTAAAGATACGGATTAACTATAAAACGGATCCGGAAGAAGATTAACGGAATTAGGAACGGCCCGATAATATAGATAAAGCTCCTTTATAATCGAGGGAAAGCTAGACCCTCTATATCGAAAGGTCTCTAGTAGAAGCTTTCCTCTAAAATTAACTACCTATAATAAGGAGCTCTCGAGGAGGTAAGTAGCTAATAGAGATATATACCTATTTTATTAAATAACTATTATAATTACTCTATTATTATAGAGGTAAGAATTAAGGTATTACTTATAATTCGGAGGGTATTTTATAATCTTAATATTATAAGTCGTATTAATACTTTTATATTAATTAGTTAATTAATTAATAAATAAATTACTTAATAGATTATTAAAGAATATATAAATAAAGGCTAAAATATCCTCCTTTCTAATATAGATATAAAGAATTAGCGGAGTTAGCTAAAAAGGGCTTAATAAAGCTATTACTCTCCTATTTAACTCTTTATTAACGATCTCGAATAGAATAAAGACGTATATTATTATATTATATACTATAATCCTATTATATAAAAGATCGACTATATTTTCTAGATTTACTCTTAGTATAATTAATTATAAAAGTAAAACGCTAACCTCTTATTAATAGGTTCTATATATTAAGCGAATTATCTATACCCTAAAGCCTTATCTATAATCTATTAAGTAGCCTCCTTCTAATTAAAAACTATAAATAAATTACTATAAAATACCTCTCCTCTAAGTAAATAGGGTAATAGTAACTTATACTTAATTTAATTACTATTTTACGCTCTTTTTTAATAAGAGTATTAATATATATATATAAGTAATTACTTATATAAAGGAGGTAATAGATAAAGAGGATATTAAAGCCCTTAATATTATAATTACGGATTTCGATTAAAAGCTTAAAAATACTCTTAAAATCGTATTCCCTCGTCTCCTATAATAAATTTATATATAGTATATAAATAAGAACGTTCTCCTTTATATAAGAAGGAAGTAAAATAGCTACTTAGAGGGTAATATTATAATCGGAGGCCTTTATAATAGTTATATAAATAGCTATTCCTATTATTCCTATTTATAGGAGATATTAACTACGTTAACCTAATTAAGTAAATAATAATATAATAGAAAACTCTATAATTAGCGAAATCGTTAAAAATAGCTTAATAATAAGGGTATTTCTAGCTTTTAATTTAATACTTAATACTATAAATAATAGAAATAGCTTATAATACCTAAATTCTATATTCTTATTATTAAATCTATTATTAGATTACTCTCTTAATAGCTTTTTATTTACTTAGAAGTAATATATTAATATTAAAATCGAAAGAGTATTCTAGTTTATATAAGCCTTACTCTATTATAGGTTTAATCTTAAATAACTTAGTTTATTTACCTCCTTCCTTTTCTATACTCTTAATTAAAAAGCTAATATCTTAACTTTAAAGCTTATTTACTATCTAAATATTACTTAATTACTATTCTATTAGTAATTCTATAAGTTTTCTATTAAAAGATTCCGAAATTATAGCTTTAGATCTATATCTCTAATAAAAAGAGCTTATACTAAGCTTAAGAGCTACCTTCTAAGAAGTAAAAGCTAAATTAACCTCTATACCCTATAAAAGCGAATCTCCTAAATAATTAATAAGAAAAAAGAGTAATATAAGATTTTAATTTAATTATAAATATATTATTTTAATATTAAATTTTAATAAAAATAAATTATATAATAATTTATATTTCTTATATCCTTTAAAGCTTTTAAGAAGATATAGGATAAACTATAAATAGTTTTAAAAGCTAGGAATTCGGATTAACTATAATTCTAATTATTATTCTATTCTAATAGCTTTACTAAATAATAAAAGCTATTTTATTAATATATACTATATTCTTATCTATCTCTTAATTAACTATTAATTTCTAAGGATATTTTAATATATTAATAGCTTAATTAGAACGTTATTAATTTTACTATTTACCCTCCCTCCCTCCTTTAGCTTCTACCTATTAATTCTATTATAAATAGGCTATCCTCTAAACGGCTTACGAAGAAACTCTCGAACCGCCTCTAGATAAGGTCTTAAAGGGCGCTAAACGTATTAAATAAGAACGCCTATAACGCCTAAGAGAGGCTACTAATAATACCTCTATTATAGGATCCCTTAATACCTTAATTTCCCTCGCCTCTATTATATAAACTATTACTTCTAGCTAAGTACTATTAAAATAGGAGTAATTAGAACTATTATTATTATATTCTATATTAATCCTATTTTAGAAGCGTACTCTTACTATCTATCCGAGGAAGAAGAAGAAGATTAATAGCGATAAATAAATAGACTTTATCGTAGCGTAATTAGCTAACTTTATAAAAGCGTCTCGCTAATAAGAGGCTATATAACGTCTCTTAGCTAAGGAGTAGATATATAATACTTCTCTATAACTATAGCTACTATTAATAGCTACTATTATATAGCTATTATATAATATACCGTAGTTCTAGTAATAACTATAATAGTAGTTTTAAAGCGAATAGCCCGAGCTATTTACTCTAGGGGCTTCTAGAGACTATAGCTAGTAATAAAGAGGATTCTAAATAGCCTCTAATAGAGGCTAATTTAGTATTTACTATAGTTTTTTCGATATCCTAAATTATAATATAAAAAGATTAATATTAGTTACCTTAAGCTATTAAGGGCTATTAATAGCTATTCAGTAACTCGCTTACCTTACTATTCTATCGAGTAACTCGAAGGTATAAGAGACGAGTATAGGTATATAGTTACTATAGCTAATTTTAGTAATAGAGCTATATTTATGGCTTTACCCCTATCGGGCAGAGCAAATAGTCAACAAGGGCCGAGCAAATAGTCGTCCTCCCTTAACAGCCGCCCATGTTTATGACCCACTCGTTGATGTTCGCCGGGCCAACGGCTGCTGGAGCCCGTTTCCCTACTGTAGCCCAGCCCCTGAGCACTGCTTCCTTATCTGGCTGTTTGTCTCTCTTTTGGGTCTCCCCAACAGCGACATAACGACCAATCGGGCTGGTGTTGATGTTGTAACGGGAGACGCATACACGACGGGATCTACAGGTTTAGTGCGTGGCTGTTCTGAGCGACCCAGCTGTCTCGAAACGCGACACATCATAACCCACTCTTTTTGCTCCAGAGATCTCCAGGAGACCGCTGCTGAACTCATCATGGTGATAGGCCGTCGCTTTAGAAAGTGGCGCTGACAGGGCCTAGGTGGGCATTTCATGGGCTATTGCATCACAGATCTGCGCAATACCTTGCGGTAGGTTCTTCCCAACTGTCGGCCTCTGCAAGGGACGGCAGATGTCGCTGGTCCCTTAAAGAATCATTGTTTCCTTGCGGGCAAAAATGGCTGGTCTCTCCTTCCATGCCTGCTTAGGTACTCTGCACATCTAAAATCAATAGTTTTCGTTTCCATACACATCTATCTACCTAAGATAGGTACATCAGCATCTCACATCACTTGTGCACTCTATCCCTACCACTCAGCGGTAGCCAAATTCGACATCATGAACCAGTTTCTGTACCTCCTCCTAGCAGCGACACCTACCGCCAACGCCATGGCAGCCTACATGGCCTCCCTCCCGCAGGAGATAGCAGCTCTGGTGGCCACGGACGACTGCCAGCTACCCGACGAATTCAGCATCCAGAATTTTGTCGCCGGATCGGCTGACGGCGGCAAGACACTGGACTCGTTTGAGTTTGGCTTTCTGGACGACAGCACGACAGTAGACACATCCTGTCTCTTCAACTCCACATCCAAGGCCGTCAACAACGACGGGAGGACTCCAAGATACAGCTGCAACGACGCTCGTGTCAACTTCATCTGGCAAAATGGGTCCCTGACGCTGATCGAGGGCGTATGTGGTGGTGAAGATGGGTAAGATGAATCGACATGGCGATACTGTATGCAACAACTGACGTTCTTTTCAGTGCGGCTGACTATGAGGCATCCGGTACGGCACCCGTGGCTATTACTTGTACCGGCAGCAATGCTACAACCGCCAACAATACCACGGCTACCGGTGGAAGCAACTGCAAGGCCGATTTGGCGGACATCCAAGCCAAGTTCTTCAGCATCCAGCCTGTGGCACCCAAGTTTGAGTGAGTTTCTGGAAAGGCTGAGGGGGGACACAGGCTTAGACAATAGAATGAACAAGGAAGGCCGTGATGATTCTTGAATGATCAGGACGATTGGCGTATCACAAATCAATAGAACATATTATCACGTCCAGATCACACATGCTGTCCAAATCTGCCCGAGGTCGGGGAATAGATGAATGTGAAGCGGTAGTTAAGCGATCCGGGGGTGGGTCGATCCCCATCCGATGTAGCCACTCAGGCTGCACCTTCAGGGGGGGATATCTGCTCGGCAGGTGACTGACTGACTGGAGTGCCATATGACCTCACCGCATTAACAACTTGGGCACGATCAGTCTGGTGCACCAGACGTGGTCCGCGCTGTCTCAACCATCCGCCGTCCACTCGCGACGTTGGTTACGATCGCTGTCCCGAAACCATCCCAACCATGTGACCACGAAGGCATTGACGCAACCAACATTCCTCTCAAGACGATACTCTCTGTCGAACAATCAACTCTGAGCACCTGAAAGCGCTCCAGCGCCCCTTCTGCGCGAGGCAACGATGGTCTTTGCGCCACGACTTCCACAGCACATAATTGTCCAACTCAGCCTCTCAACCACTCAATCAACATGCGGTTCATCGCCTGTGGCCTTTCGGGCCTGGTGCGATTTGCATCCTTACTAGCCCTTGCTCTCAACGTCGGCGCAACTATCAATCAGCGACCGCTGGGCGGCGGATCAGACGACCACGGACGACAGCCCGTCTCTGTCGCTCTGTTCTCTTCCCTCGAGCGCATGTCCCGCTTGGTTGATATCGCCTATTGTGTCGGAACGACAGGCGTCTCCGAGCCCTTCTCCTGCGCCTCGCGCTGCATCGAGTTCCCAACCCTCGTCCTCGCGAAGACATGGAATACCGGCATTCTCATGAAAGATAGCTGCGGCTACATTGCGGTTGACCACGGTGTCCGCCGTCCCGATACTAAGGAGGATGAGCGCGATCTCCTGGGCGGCAAGGCAATCATCATCGCATTCCGAGGGACCTACAGCATCGCGAATACGGTCGTCGACCTGAGCACCGTGCCGCAGGAATACCTTCCCTACCCGTCCCCCGACAACGGCGGCGAAACCGCCAAGGCACCGAGCCACAAGTGCGACAACTGCACCGTGCACCAGGGCTTCCTCGAGTCCTGGCAGCAGGCCCGCAAGCTCGTCCTGCCCGAGATCGAGGCGCTGAAGGCGCAGTTCCCAGACTACCCCGTCCACCTCGTCGGCCACAGCCTCGGCGGCGCCGTCGCCATGCTGGCGGCGCTCGAGCTGCGCGTGTCCCTCGGCTGGGACGACCTCCTCGTGACGACCTTTGGCGAGCCCAAGGTCGGCAACCAGCCGCTGTGTGACTACGTCGATGCCGTCTTTGCGCTCGACGCCGAGGCCGCCGGCGCCGCGGACCCAGAGAAGCGCGTGTACCGCCGCGTGACGCACGCCGATGATCCCGTCCCGCTGCTGCCGCTGACGGAGTGGGGGTACCGCTCGCACGGCGGTGAGTTCTTCATCACGAAGCCGGACCTGTCGCCGTCGGTCGAGGATGTCGTCGTCTGCCGCGGTGCCAGCGACGATCAGTGCATCGCGCAGGGCGACGTCGAGGTCGAAGAAGTGGAGGCGGTGGCCGACGAGGTTGTGCAGGAGGCGGGGGAGGAGGGGCTCGCCGGGCCCGTCGAGGGGACGGCGCCCCAGGAGCGCAGGTGGGTCAAGAGATTCCCGAGCGTGCCGGCGCGCTTCAAGCTGTGGCAGCTGTTCTTCGCGCACCGGGACTACTTTTGGCGCATCGGCCTCTGCGTGCCCGGCGGGGACCCTGCGAATTGGGGCCGGGAGAAGTATCCCGACGGCCAGGGGGATGATGACGATGCGCGGCTGGAGGAGCTTTAGAGGATTGATCAGCGGGCGAAGCGACACGTTGAGCTGTAAACAGGATGAGTGGCCGAAGCGAACATATGGGAAAGGGCGCACAATTGCACTGGTGGGTTAGAGCGATTATGGGTAACGAGACTGCTGCCTGGCCCCTTTGTATTACTTTAAACCAGTCTGAATGTAGTATGATTATGCTTTCTAAAACTGCTCCCTGCATAATGGCCTCTTCGCTGCTGATACACATCTTGTTCACAGGGTGACATGACGTTGCTTCGACAGTCGGGCGACGTCGGGCTGGAGCAACCAGATACTGCGGATCGCTGACGCTGACGCCTCAAGATCAGTCCTTTTGCCGCCTAGATTGACTACAGGAGCCTAGACAGGTCCCATCTCCAAGGTTTCCGAAATAGGTGCCAATGTGCCTCGGCTGCTCCACAGGTCTATACTGTATAACAGCATGAACAGCTGCGTGGGCCAGTGCAGGACCCCACGCATAAAATAAAATAAGAATAAAAATGAAAAACAGACTCGAAAACACACAGCAACTTCGGGCTCGGGATCGTGGCAGTGTGACCTGTCGCTGGAATGACACGGTCCCATGCGTTCGGCCAGCAAGCCAGCAGCAAAATGTGCCCAGCAGATGATCAGCCCAAGTGGAGTGAGTCTCCACAAAGTTCTATGAGGGCGAGGGACGAGGGGAGAGCTGGGTCGTGAGCAAGCAAATGGCTTACCTCAGCCTGTCTTTCCCACCTGGCGCCCACTGATAACACGCTCCAGAATGTGTTTCAGACCCATTTTGGCGTGGCCTCAACGGTTAGCGCCGGCCGCGAATGATGGGCGCAGGGCGTTGGTCATAGATCTATGAGAGACGAGGGCAACTATCACATGGGCCATGTTTGTTGTTTTGTCTAGTGGCAGGATGCTGACGAGGTGGGGAGGGCGAGAGTGGCTGTTGATTTGTCCAAGGGTTGGAAAGGGGCCAAAACAAACAAGAGGTAGGTAGGTAGGCACGCTTGACAGATAGTGATGAGCAGCTCAAACTGGCGCCGCTCACTACAAGGTCACGCCCGCCCTGCCCTGCCCCCTCCCCCGTGGTGAGGTGGAAAGTGGAGATCCGGCCGGCCCACGGCAGAGAGAGGTAGGCAGACAGGCGTGGGCTGGCCACCGGTACGTACCCAGATTGCATCGTCCGCCGCCCGCCGCCCGTCGCCAACCAGCCAGCCATCAAGCAAGCTGGAGGAGTGGGCGGGCTATGCACTAGTGTCGGGGGCCACGGTTGAGCTTGGGCTCCCACTTCTATTTTTTGTCAATGGTGGTCGGTGAATGGGCAGACCAGCCAGCATGGCGACATGAGGATGCCCCAACCTGCAATCTCGGCATCTGAAATCTCGTGGCAGGCGGCAGAGTGAGGCGGTAGACGAGGGGGTTCTTGATAGCGGCGGGAGCAAGCAGAAGTGGTGGGTTGGACGAGATGATCCAGATGGGGAGGGGGAGAGGCAGAACAAGAACAGGTCGGGACTCGATGCCCCTCCCTCGTGATTGATGAGGTGCCAGCGAGCCGGCGAGCAGCCAGTCATCAGGCGGCAAAGGCAGATGAGTTGTTCAACAGGAGACGAACTGGGGCCCCAGGAGGCGAGGCATTGCTGGCTCGGCCCCTCCAAGGAAAAAAGCCCATGTCGAAAAAGAATCCCACCGTACCTACCTACCTACCTCAGGTACCTACCTAGGTGCGTGACCGGGGCTGCTGGTACTGTCCCAAGTGTCCACAGACGCGGCCATGGCCCCGTCCCTGCACATGTCCATCCGCTGATGCCCGAACCGCCAGCCGCGAGGGGCCAGAGCCAGGAGCCAGGAGCTAGTAGCCAACAGCCAGCATGTCGAGGGCAGGACACAGCGGCCCCCGCTTCTCCCCTCGCCCAAGCAAAGAGGAGAGCAGGAGCAATGAGCCAGCCCGATAAGTGTTTACCAGGCCGGGTAAGGTACCTAGGCAGCTACCTACCTACCTTAGGTACCTGCCTAGGTAGCGCGGGAAGGAAGCCAGCCACAGCTCCCCCCCTCTTATCCTGCTCAAGAGAGGTACCTCTCTACCTGAGTTCTGGCCTCGCCTTCGTGACTTCCCACCAGTTGCCCTCGCCCCCCGGAAGCCCAAGCAGCCTACCCCCCCCCCCCTCGTCCCCTCCCACGACGCTTCAAACCCTGAAAGTCTCCCGCTCCGGACCCTCAACTCACCCTCGCCTTACGCACCTCACCCTGTCCACCCACCCTGCCTGGTCATTCAGTCCTGGCTGCGTCTCTGACCTGCCTGCACCTGCACCACTACCTACCTCCCTTACCTGCACTTTTCCCTCACCTCCATCTCCACACCACACCACCAACTCTCCCGCCTGTTTTCTTGTGAAAACAACAACCCACTACGATCCTCACATCCGTGCATCCCATCCCCATCCACATTACGCGCTTTCCTCTTCTCCAAACGAACCCCCTCAACTACAATCCCCAAGCAAGTCATCATGTCCGGCGATGTAAGTACCTCCCCTATTTCTCCCTCCTACTGAGCCTGCCTGGCTGGCAGTCACATTCCCCGTTCACCCCTCCTTATCACGGCCTTGCCGTGTGAGCCTCGTCGGCACCAGGCGCGGGCGCACACCTCGCCCAGTCGAAATCGCCTCGCCCTGCCGTCGACCTCGTACCTTGAGCTGCCCTCTTTTGCACCATAATATCGTCTTTCTCCTCTACAACGAAGACCATCTGCTAACCGGCCTTCTCTGACAGCGTGAGAGGTTTGTTGCGAACCGCATCCCTCCCCTGAACTCCCATGTCCTTTGCCTACCCCCTCCCCCCGCTCAATCCGCCATGCTGACTGAATCCCCGCCCTGATAACAGCAAGACTTTCCTTGCTCGCCTCTGCGAGCAGGCCGAGCGTTACGATGAGATGGTCGGCTACATGAAGGAGGTTGCCAAGCTTGGCGGTGAGCTCACTGTTGACGAGCGCAACCTTCTCAGCGTCGCCTACAAGAACGTCGTCGGTACCCGCCGTGCCTCGTGGCGCATCATCTCCTCCATCGAGCAGAAGGAGGAGTCCAAGGGCTCTGACAAGCACGTCGGCACCATCCGCGACTACCGCAACAAGATCGAGACCGAGCTCGAGCAGGTCTGCCAGGATGTCCTCGACGTTCTCGACGAGAGCCTCATCCCCAACGCCCAGACTGGCGAGTCCAAGGTCTTCTACCACAAGATGTACGTTGCACACCACCCCGCCTTACTCCTCGGCGGGATTTCTGGTCGTAATGCCCGACCGCCTTTTCCCGCTCCAGCCTTGCTGACCATGTCTGTCCTCCGTCAATAGGAAGGGTGACTACCACCGCTACCTCGCCGAGTTCGCCTCTGGCGACAAGCGTAAGGGTGCCGCCACTGCCGCCCACGAGGCCTACAAGGTGAGCAATGCCCAATCCCGAGCCGTGCGACGTTGGCTCTTCGTCTTCTCTTGCTAACCCCAAACGTCCACAGTCCGCCACCGACGTCGCCCAGACTGAGCTGACCCCTACCCACCCCATCCGTCTCGGCCTTGCCCTGAACTTCTCCGTCTTCTACTACGAGATCCTCAACTCGCCCGACCGTGCTTGCCACCTCGCCAAGCAGGCCTTCGACGACGCCATTGCTGAGCTTGACTCGCTGTCCGAGGAGTCCTACCGTGACAGCACCCTCATCATGCAGCTTCTCCGCGACAACCTCACCCTCTGGACATCCTCCGACTCTGGCGAGGCCGAGGGCGCCCCCACCGGCCAGGCCGACGCTGTCGAGGAGAAGAAGGAGGAGCCCAAGGCCGATGCCGCCGCCCCTGCCCCCGCTGCCGAGGAGCCCAAGGCTGAGGAGCCTGCTCCCGCTGCCCCCTAAGTTTTGCTCTCTCGATACCACTTCTCTCGTCTTGGCTCAACCATCCCCAAGGTGAAATGATGACTCCGGTGGTCTACTGGGCTCCGCACGATGCCACAGAAGAAGGCGCCGAGCGGATCCTGGCAGAAGGCTAGCTGGTGATACATGCGATTCGTCTTTGGTGCTCTCGGCAGGGGGCATGGAGTGATAGGTGTTTCCGGACACGGCGGGGACTTGGGAGATGCGCTTGGCCGCATGGGTTTTGGTATGGGACCTCGCGGGGTTCTGGGACGTGGGAGGGGGGCATGGGACATCACTCTGGGGAGACCTCACCTGCCCTTTGGCCAGGCGTCGTTGATCCAGCAGAAAGATGACCCACGCTGCCCATTGCGTTTTTATCACATTCCCCCGCTCGCCTCGATATTTCCCCCTTTCCTTCCCAGCCCGAATAATCCACACTTGATTTCCCCTCAGCCCCCTTTTGCCCTGAGTGTCCTAGATTACGGCTCTCTCTTGATTTCTCGTTTCGGTTTTCCTACAGTGGTCCTCCAGTTGTCGCTCGGTCTCGCGAGGAGAGGAACGTGTTGCTCCATCCCCACCCCCACCCCCCAAATGCCCGTGTCCATTACGTCTCAAAGACAAAGAAAAAAACACAAAGTTCATTCATGTTGGGTTATTGGTGACGGTGATTACAATGTCATGTGTGGATGATGGGTAGATGCGACCAGGGCGGATGGCAGACGGGCACGTGATGTGTGGCTTGATGCGTGAATTGGCTGCGAGACGGAAATGCACGACTAATGATGAGTACAAGTATCCTTGGTCGTTGCAGTGCAAGGAAATATGAAGAATGGCTTCCTTGCAACAGTAGGGACATTCCCGGAAGGATGATAGAGTAGTTTTATATCTCATGAATCATTATCGTATCATGCCTTGGTCTACCGCCTTTATGAAGTAACACTTCATGTCTAGGTTCTCTTTGAGCCCTTACTGCAATGCTCGGTTGGACAAAACTACTACACCCCCTGCCGCTCCGCCCTCTCCTTCCTCTCAAGTAGCTCCCTCGCCCTCGACAGCCGAGCATCCCCCTCTCGCGCCCGCTTCACTTTTAACCCTTCCAGCCCGGCATCGTCAGGATTAGAGCCCGTCGATGCGCTGGAGGGATTATACTCGGCCCCGACACGCCCCGCCGGCGCGCTGACGGCCGCGACAGCCGCCGCCGTGACGCGCGGCGTCTTCCTCCTCTCGGCCGACGGCGTGCCGCCCCTGCTCGCGTTCGCGGCGGCCGTCCTGGCGGGCGTCCGCTCGAAGCTCCACTTGCGCAGCCTCATCTTTCGAAACAGCGACGACGACGAGACTTGCTGCTTCAAAGGCGCGCCGTCGTCCCGCCCGCTCTGCCGCTTGGGGACGTCCTCGTCGTCGTCGTCTTCCGTGTCCGGGCCGTGGGGGCTACCCGGCTTGGCTGCATCTGGACCCCCTCGTCTGGACGAGCCGCTGCCGGCGCCGGGCTTGGCGGCCGCGCGCTTCTTCGCGGGCGTCAGGCAGAGCGAGGCGATGCGGGAGAGGGCGGCGCCGACGGACGAGGAGGCGGCGCCGGCCGAGGCGTGCGGCGCCGGCTGCTGCTGCTCGTGCTGCTGCTCTTCCGGGGTGGGATCTGGCGTGGCCGGGGCGGCGGCGCCGAGGCGGGCGCAGCGGGGGCATGAGTCCGGGCGCCAGTCGTCGTCCGGTGGCGGGGGCGGCGGGTGCCGGCGGTAGGTCCAGGTGCCGTGCCAGAAGTTGGTGTGGGCGGCGAGAAAGGTCGAGGTCGGGTGCGGGAGCGGCGTCGGGGGGTCGGTGCAGGTGCAGGTTGCGGCGAGGAGGTTCGTCGTGCGCCAGGTGTTGATGCGCTCGAGCGTTGCTGCGGCCAGGGGCGTGTAGAGGGGGGGCTGTCTTTTCGGCGTGGGCGTCGACGGCTCCATTGTTGTCTGTGAGGAGGATGTGTCGTCCATGGCGGCCAGACGATGTATGTGTGTATGGGCGAGAGAGAGTGAGAGTGAGGGAGGGAGGGATGGGAGACAGATTGAATGGCGACGAATGCGTGAGAAAGAGGAAGACAGGGAGAGCGCGAGAGATGAGGTTGAGGTGAACAAGCGACGGCGACAGCGGCGGTAGCGCGTGGTGTCTGGGTGAGGTTGAGGAAATCAGAGTCCACTCCCAAAGTCTAAAAGCAAGTCGGTCGCCAGGACCAGACAACGCGAGGCCCTCTTTTGGGTTTGATCCCTTCCTCACACGCGAGGGGGAGCTAGCATGATATGCGCCCTGGACGCCCTCTCGAGAAAGAAACGACGCTGTCAAAGCTTGCGGGCGACTCAGCTCTCGTGCCCGAAAAAGAACAAGTGCGTGTCGCCTGTGCTGCTTTGGAATGATGAGACTGATAGCGCCATCCGATCCAGCTGTTTGGAGGAATGGCAAAAACTAAGTTTCGGAAGAGCCTAAGTGTGGCACCTAAAAGGCGAGCGAGACCTTTCATCACACGCGTCCGCGTCGCACTTGGTTGGGCTGTTCAAGTCGCTGGCGTCTCCGAGTCATGAGGATTGAGGGTCGAAATCGTCGAGGCACGCGAAAACTAGTATAGTATTTGCATCCATCACTTCGTAAAGTCTTTGACCCGCTTGACCGTTGCAAGAACCCCCCCCCCCCCCCCCGGCCCCAATGCCACACCAGACCACCAGGTTGCTCGTGGGAACACCCTTCTCAAAAATAAAAAACAATATCGCCACCCTGTCTTTTGTTCACGTCTTCTGTTCGTTCCGACTGTCCAGCTATCTACCGTCTGTGGCTGCTGGGCGTCAACGTCTCCCAGCTCCCCGCACCACGCGGTTCGTCATCGCCCAGGGCATCCAGCAAGTCAACCGGTGCCTTCTTCTGTATCTTCGTCGGCACTTGTGGTTTAGGCTTGGGCCGGTTCTCGCCTGCTCGCATCCCTGGCAAGGCCATCGCCCCGGCCATCGGCTGTTTCCTCAGCACGCCGCTGGCAGGCGACGTCGGCCCGCCGTGGCCGTTCTGCGCGACAGGCCCCGTCGCTGCCCGCATAGGAAGCTTTGGTTTCTCATCGCTCAGAATACCATGCCCATTCTTCGTAGATGACGGGCTTGCCGTCGGCGACGTTGAGCTCAGGTGTAATGGCTTTCTTGCCACGGGTGGTGCTGCCTTTCCACGTGACTGTTGCGAGAGCTGAGAGAGGTCCGAAAGAGCCGATGACGGTCGCGGCGGTGGCGGAGGCACAGCCTGCGTTTTGTGTAAAGCCGCCATGGAGGCCGACTGGTTCGAGCTGCCCGTAGGGCCAGCTGTCTGGCGCCTCGGAGGCGGAGGAGGGGGTGGTGTCTCGGCTCTCTGCATCGAGTTTGAGCTACCATCGACCCACGTACTGGTTCGTGGCGGCGGAGCTGGGAGAGTGGAAGGGTCAAATGGTGGCGGAAGCGCCCTGCGCGCCGAGGGCGCCGTTGATGTCAAGAGGTCGGCCGGAGTGTTCACATGCTCGTAGGGTGACGTTGACAGGTTCGTCGAGAAGGACGAAACGCGCGATCTTGATACCGTTACCCAGTCAGGTTCCGTCGTCACGCCGAACGGATTGGCCGGTCTGTTGGGGTTCAAAACCATGCTCTGCCCGTCTGCACCCGGAGGTGGCGGCTTCACGCCTGCCCTCGCCGGTTGCTTGTTGTCGAGCCACCACTTTTGCCGGTCGGAGCTGGCAGGTGGTAGTCCGGGTTCGATGGCGTCGTATCCAATAAGGTCTTCGTCGTCCTCGTCCTCAGTATCAAGACTGGTCGAAGGGTCCCCAACTTCCTGCTTCCGACGCAAATATAACTCTTGGCTGATCTGCTCGCGGTGAGACTCGTCGACAATGTTGACAGTGCATTGGAACGTTGCATAGACTGGCCGATGGTCTGAAAACCTCAGCGGTGCTGAGTTGTAGCACAGCTGGCGCAGGTTCTGCCCCTTTCGGAGAATACGGTCCGTCCAGGCCGGAATTCTTGCCTTTTCCCTACGCACAGTGAGCGAATGCTTCATACCCCGGTTTCATGTGGCCACTTACGAAGTATCGTAGTCGTCCGTCCCGAGATCGAACTTGTAGGTGGGCAGAAACGTGATGCGCGCCTCCGAATAGAACGGAAAGGATAGACCAGCTACCATTTGTAGATTCAGCTGGAAAATATGAGTAAACTGTGGTAATGAACTCTGAGCGGTGCAGACATACCTGGTCGTTCTCGTACAGCGTAGCCAGGTCCTTCTTCTTGACGAGAGACCGGGCAGCATCAGGACCCAGACCGATGCGGTAATTGAAATCACCAAGCCATATGACCGTGTCTGTGTGGCTGTCAGCAACACGTTGCGTGTAGTGGCATACCGCGTGACTGACCATGATCATCAATGCCGCGGTTGCGCTGAAACCTCAGACCGTCATGGATAGTCGCGTAATCGCGGTTGCGTTCGTCATAATTAGAAAACCCGGCTGCTAGGTGAGCCGTGACAAAGCAAATGGGGGTGCTGGCGTAGTCGAACCGAATGGCGACCGCGCCCTTGTTGCCGGCCATGCCAGACATTCCCGTCTTCTTCACACTACCTTCGACATTCTTAATGCTGCTGAGCGAGGATGCCTTGACGAAAATGCACAACGCGGCACCGACAAGCTGTCCGCTCCGAAGCAACACGTAACGCTCGCCACCGGCTTTTTCAAAGTGGCTGTTGAGTGTCCGCTTCACGGCCTTCTCCCACAATCGTTTCCGTGTGGGATCGCTGTTCATGATCTGCTGGGGGCTCAAATCGACAATTTCTTGGAAGCCAACGGCTACAATCTCGGGCTGGATTGGGCCCAGCTCTTTGGGGCAAAGCCAAGACGATAGATCGTGGTCGATGCCTTGGGTCCGCCCATTGAGATTGAAAGTGCCAACCCACCTGACTTGTGTGTCAGTATCAGAACCTGGGCATGATGCATCGAACTCACATGTTGATATCCTGTGTTGAGGAGAACTCTGCGCTCCTCTTGCTCATCTCGGCTGCGACAAAGTCACTGATCGGATCGTAAATGTGCATTGGCGTCTGGCCCACAAGCCGGCCGAGCAGACGATCGATGGTCGTTTGCTTTGCGGCGTCAGTAAAGTTGTTGTGGTAAAGCCTCTGCATCGATTTGCGCATATCAGCAACGGCGCCTGCCAGGGACATTTTGCCAGTGCGGGTATATGATGACTTGAGGGCACCGGTGCCTGCATAAATCTTCGACAAGGCATCGCCATTGTCCGCCCAGAGGGTTGAATGTCTCATCCAGAAATCGGACGTCGCGTACTCTCCTCTTTGGCCCAGGAACGACTCCATGGCCATGGAGGAGATCAGTGTCTGGATCAGGTTGGTTCTGTCGAGGCAGTCTAGACAGTTGGTGCGGAAAACACCTTCTTGCTGGAGCAATACGACCATGCGAGGGGCTCCGTTGACCGTTGTCAAGCTGCGATTGTCATCGGCCACATCGTCGGTCTCCTCGGCGAGATAATAGGCAAAGCCCTCGGTCGAGTTCTCAATATATCTTCTGATGTTCCTAGCCGACTCGTAGCCAGCAGCACCTCTCGTCTCCGCATGAAAGTCATAGTGCGTCTCCCTCAACAAGGCGTGATCTTGAGACTGATTCTGGCCGACCTGGCTCAACGGGGAATGGCGCACACCGTTGTGGTAGAGCTTGCTGAGCTGGGCTTCCCCGGGCTTCTCCTCGCTGAGCAGGTTGACTACGTGAACGGCACCGTAAGCATGCTCGAGGTCTTGGAAATGTTTGTTGAAGGCAGGTTGCGTGCCCTCTGGCGACCTGGTAATGCTGATGTTCTGCTTTCCTGGTAGAAGATCTGCCGCCTGCTCCCAAAACAGGGGCACAGACCCTCGAACCTGGCTGAACGAGAAGAGAGTCCCTCTAGGGCTCCAGTAGGTCGTTTCCGTTTCTACAAAATTGGCTACGTTGCCGTCATCGTCGATGCCGCGGGAGTTGAACCTCGTGCCAGCCCTTCGACACGAGAGTCGCGATATGACTGTCAGATACGAAGGGAGGCCTGTACTCGTTGTTTTCAGAGGAGCACTGATCTGCGGGATGGCGATGGTACGGCAGAAACCCCTGATGGCGGACGTGAGGATCCTCGATGCGTCAAGGGCCTCTCTCTCGTGGGGAATGAGACGTGATCTGAATTGGACCAGGGGGCTAATCATGAAGGAGTTCCAGAGGAACGAGTCGTCAAAGTTGTCAATGTCGAAGGCGGCCGAGTTCACGGACCGATCTTGCAGCCTGTTGGTGACATCAAAGTCGGTGCTGTAGTAGAATGAGCCATTGCTCAGTAGTTTCCTGAGGTCATGGCAAGGATGTTCGACCGTAATCTCTCGGCGACTCAGGTTCTGACCATAGCCGGCTGGTCCGTACACGGATGAGGCATCGGACAGGTCGGGGTCCAGATTGTCAATGGACACGACATCGTCCCAGCGGTCGCTGTTGAGGCAGAAGAAGGCAACGCTGGAGATTTTCTCGACCGTCTCGCCAGGCCGGATGGTCGCAACCCGTGTGGCGTGCGTGACGACAGACAAGAAGACATCTCCATCAACCGCAATCAAGCCCAGTGTCCCAAATATCGGCCGCGGTATCAGACTGCGATAGTCGGAAAGCGTGTGCTTCGACAGTGGCGTGAATTCGGCCATGCATTTGGACACGGGGGTCTCTGTGCCTGAAGTTCGGGATCGATGAGGCTGCACTTGAGGAAGATGGTGGCTGCTGCCATTGCCTTGGCTGGTGAGATCGTGGCTGGATGTATGACTGAAGATGAGGGCGTGGGAGTTGGATACAATGGCGACGGATCGATGCGGGTAGTCGCGTATGTAGAGCTGGCTCGACTTCTCTGGCGAAGGGACTTCTACTCCCCACGAGCCTCCGCCTCCGTGTTCCATCCTGAAAAGGCCAGCTGTCGCGAGATTGGTGGTAGGGTCAGAGTGACGAGGTGGACATGTCGGAGCAGGAATTGATCAAGAGGGGGCAGTTGTCGTTGCGCGGGTAGGCGGGTTTCCGACCAGCGGCTTCGGTTCGTGGGTACGATTCGATGAAAGTCGCAGTGATCGGTCGAGGTCAAAGAGCTCCAGGGTCGTGCATTCAAAAGCATAAGTCTATTGTCGCCATGCTGACGAGGAAAGAGAACATTGACATGAATTTGGTTCGGACAGGCTACGAAGGCAGGCCTGGAGGCTGACTACCAGGGAGCTTCCAGCTGTAGGTACCTCGAGGTATGACGTTGGGGGGCCATTTCGCCCGGGCTCGCTGGGCTGCCCATGAGTGGGTGGGGGGGGGCCTGTACCACGATGACCTGCCAGGCCAGTAGTGGGTGCCCCAGACAACTGGCACAACATTCACACCTGGGGAATACATTCTCAAGATGGCCTGAGTGGTGATCTGAGTGTGATACTGAAACCAGTAGATGCAATTGCCATTGCTTTCACTTGGAGAAATCATTTTGGCACGGCCAACGTGTAGCACCCCAGCCACTTTGCCAGCTGTCAAAAACGGACATGTCTGCAGCCTGGAAACCTTCGACTGGTTGGTACGAGAACCTTCAGCGTGGTAACGATGAAATCCTCGCAAAGTCAAGTAGCGATACAAAGAAGCACGATAGGCAACGTCAGCGAGGCACTCGTCATCTGAACCCGTCCGACGCAAGTGCGCGCGTCTACGAGGTTGCGGGCATTTTTTTTTCTCTCTATTAGAACAGTCGGACACGACTGCATCGTTCCACATCCGTTGACCAAGTACCTGCAACAGTTGGGAAGAGATGTGCGTTGTGTTGAAAAATGAGAGTGTGAAGAACCGTCTAGCAATCTGGGGTTTGGGAAGAAGGCTCATGCGGGAGCAGAAGAAAAGGTGGCTTCAGATTTCGAATTGAGATCATGCTACCCATTGGGTAGCGTTCATCCTCTTCCTATCATGTTGATTTAATGAATATCATCACGAGCCTGGTACGAAAGAAGAAGAGACACCACGAGATTTTTTTTCGACGTCGAGGATATCTCCAGTTTGCTGACATAACAGTGTTCTGGGGCCCACTCCTTGTGAACCAATAAGGGTCGTCGCGTCATGGTCTCAGTACCTAGGTACGCTGAGTTAATACGAGGCCTGGCCTGGCCGCCCCACTCAAAAGTTTGACCCCCTTGTCAATCTCAGTGGTCGTTCCGCCAGCAGAAGCTCCGACGCGCGCGCTGCAACCAACTAAGGATTATCCCCAGCCTTCTGCGCGCGCCTTCCCTGACGGCATCCAACGTTCAGCCTTTTCAATCCATCGCTCCATCGCCGACCCAGCTCGCTCTACTCTGCGGCATAGCTACCTCGATCCAGATACACGACCGCGACATTGATCGATAGTGCGACTGCCTGTGATCGCTTGGGAGCGTCCTTATCATGGCCGATTACGACCACTATGGTAGCTCTGAGGAGCATGCCGAAATCAAGAAGCTAGAGGCTGAGGTCGTAAGTCGCCACACACACATTTCATCCTCGCCCTCCAACGCCTGTTCTCTGTCCTGACCTCGTGTGTACAGGAAGCCGATCCGGACAACTTCGAGACCTGGGAGAAACTCATTCGCGCGTGCGAAGGGCTGGAAGGAGGCCTCAACCGCAACTCGAGCCCGCAAGCCCTGGCTGCTCTTCGCAACGCCTTTGATGGCTTCTTGCTGAAGTTCCCGCTCCTCTTCGGCTACTGGAAGAAATATGCCGACCTCGAATTCAACATTGCCGGCCCTGAATCCGCAGAGCTTGTGAGTTGACACGGCTCTGTCCATCCCCCACCATCCATGCGGAAGGCCGCGGCTGACGGGACGTTGCAGGTATACGAGCGCGGATGCGCCAGCATCACCAATTCTGTCGACTTGTGGACGGACTACTGCTCCTTCAAAATGGAGACGACCCATGTCCCGCAACTCGTCAGGGAGTAAGTACTGTGTGCATATGTGGTGGTGGTGGTTTTCCTTCCCCTTGCACCCCCTCATCCCTTAATACCGTCAACACGACAGCACGCCGCACGGCCGCTCAAACCCCTCCTCATGAACTTGCAAGCCTGGAGTGTCACCATTGGCCCCATCATTGCCAGCCGGTGAGAAATGCCAACAGACGCCCCCAATGCTGGGATGCCATCTTACACCATGTACCAGGCTCTGTTGATTTCCACATGAATCTGTGGCTGAACTGATATGACCACTCATTCACTTCACGTCGCGTGACTTTGTGTGCGCCCTGGCGCACCATGGCCGCTCGAGTTGGAATCATTGCATTTTTGTCACCGATAACCCGCTCCTGTACATGCTTCCTTCCCTTCCCCGTTGCCCTGCCGATCCCTCCCCAGCGCCCTGATCGATCGCTGACCAACACTCTCAGGCTCTTTGAGCGTGGTGCTACCCACGTTGGCCTGGACTTCCTGGCCCATCCCTTCTGGGACAAGTACATTGAGTATGAGGAGCGCCAGGAGGCAGAGGACCGCGTCCTCGCCATTCTGCGCCGTATCGTCACCCTGCCGCTTCACCAGTACTCAAGATACTACGAGAAGTTCCGTCAGCTCTCGCACAACCGTCCCGTCTCTGAACTGGTCGACGATGACGTACTCACTGCGTACCGCGCCGAAGTTGAGGCACCGTACGCCGGCACGCAAAGGCCTGAGCTCGAGACTGAACGCGACATCCGCGGGAAGATCGATGCCAGGTACTATGAACTTTTCACACAGACGCAGAACGAGGTCAGCCGTCGCTGGACCTACGAGTCGGAAATTAAGCGCCCTTACTTCCACATTGACGAGCTCGACTATCAGCAGCTTGCCAATTGGAACAAGTACCTTGATTTCGAAGAAGCAGAGGGCGACCATGCTCGCACAATTTTCCTGTACGAGCGATGTCTGGTGACGTGTGCTCTGTATGACGAATTCTGGTTCCGCTACGCCAGGTGGATGTCTGCGAAGCCCGACAAGGAGGAAGAGGTGCGCATCATCTACCAACGCGCCACTACGATGCACGTCCCCATCAGCCGGCCCGGCATCAGGCTGCAGTTTGCCTACTTTGAGGAGAGCTGCGGACGCATTGATGTGGCTCGCGACATCCATGCCTCTATCCTCATCAAACTGCCGGATTGCATCGAGGCCATCACCTCCTGGGCGCACCTGCAGCGCCGCAACAGCGGTCTGGACGCAGCGATCGAGGTGTTCAAGAACCAGATCGACTCTCCGCACGTCGACATCTTCACAAAGGCAGCCATGGTCACAGAATGGGCGTTCTTGCTGTGGAAGGTGAAGGGAACTGACGAAGAGGCTCGCAATGTCTTCCTGAAGAACGTGGACTGGTACGCCGACAGCCGCATCTTCTGGGACAAGTGGCTCGAGTTTGAGCTGCAGCAGCCGACCAGCGCGGAGACTGAGGCTCTGCACGGTGAGAGGGTGAAGCAGATATTCGACTCGCTGCGCAGCAAGAGCAGGCTTTCCCAGGCGTCGAAGAAGCAGCTGTCCCAGCTCTACCTGGAGTATCTGCTGCAACGGGGCGGTAAGGACGCCATGAAGCAATTCCTCCTTATCGACCGCGAGGTTTTTGGGTAAGTCCACATCAATCAGTCCACATAACTCCGAAGGCCACATGCTGACAATCGTGATAGTCCTTCATCCATCTCCAAGCTCTCCCCACCGAACGCCAAAGAGAATGGCGCGGGAAGCGCGGATCTGGACGCAGCCACAAACGCGAAGGCGGAGGCTCGATTCTTCAACTACTACCAACTACACGGCGAGCTGGACGTCGAGAGGCAGGGCAATGTCTCTTTCAACTGAGGGGGCTGGGAATCAGCGGTGGGCGGAGCAACTTTGCTCCCACACCTGGCGACCGATCGCGTCGGTCTAACGTTTAATGCTTTTCCTGTATCGGGTGTACTATAGCGGACGCTTGGTCCCAGCCGCTTCACGATGGTTCGTGTTCAGAAAGGTAATAACAGGCAAAATGAAATAAGCAATGAATGAACTCTTATGAGGAAATCGTCACCGTGGCGAAAACGTGTTCTGGCTTAAGTGTCCTCTTGGCATCGGGGGGAGGTCTGCGAGGTTTTCAAGTACCGCTTAAGCAGCCTGCCTTGAGCCTCTTCTTGGGTTCATCGCGCTCGTTGCCCTTCGCCTCGTGCCACAGGCACATTACGCGATGGAGCTTGCGTGTGCTCTAGAGCAAGACCATCAACTGAACGCCACCCCTCGCGTCGGATCTTGTCAAAGCGGTATGGTCAGCGGAGGGAGGACTCTTCCGCCCGTCGGCACCGCATACAACTGCCAGGAACAAGGCAGGAGAACATCTAAAGTCGTACCTATGCAGCGAGAGGGACTGCCCAGAGCCTTCACGTCCCAGAAAAGCTCGCTCGGAGCTCTCCGCAAATGCCTCTCATCAATTCTTTTGGTGCCAGTTGATGCATTCAAATTGCTGCACCATGCGCTTTCCCTGCAAGTGTCTTCGAGCGTGGATCTCAAACCGTTGGGCAATGCCTGCATCTTGGGAAAACAAGGTACAGGGGCTCATCAAGCGCATGAAGAGTCTCACAAGCTTGCTGTTTGCGTTCATCGTATTAAGCTCATAGATCATGGACCACGAACGGTCTCAACATGAGTGATCTGGGTCCCAGGTTACGTATAGATGGACGGGAGATACAATGATTACTACCTGCTTACACGCATAGACGGACGGGAGATATAATGATCACTACCTGCCTACACGCATAGACAGACAGGAGATATAATGATTACTACCTGCCTACACGCATAGACAGACAGGAGATACAATGATCACTACCTGCCTACACGCATAGACAAACAGGAGATACAATGATTACTACCTACTTATATATATAGATAGATAGGAGATATAATGATTACTACTTACTTACATACATAGACGGACAGGAGATATCATGATCACTGCCTGCCTATATGCATAGATGGACGGGAGATACAATGATCACCGCCTGCCTATAGGGCTTTGATGTACAGCTGGAATGCACGTCCGAACAGGTCCTAGCTCCGCAGCAAGCTCTGGAGCGCGCTCAGCCTAAGCCCTCCTAGGCTTGGATGCAGAACCCCTGTTATCATTTTACGCCGCTTTGCGGCATACGTCGGATTGCAACACGCTCCATCAAGTCCATTCCGATACCTCGTCACTTGTAGCATCGAGATGATGGCAGTCGCCATCGGCGAAAAGTCGCTACAAAAGCTCCTTGCTACCCTCACGACGGTGCTCCACCCATCGACCTATGTCTTCGTCACACTCCCACAGGCGGCGACTCCTCCTCCACTCTCCACGATACAGATGATCTTCCACGAGGCAGAAGGCAGCACGGTCATCATGAAACTGGAGGACGCCAAAGCGCGCGCTTTCGACTATGCTTTCCCGTCAAGAATGATCACGCTCAATGTGCATTCAAGCTTGGAAGCCGTCGGATTCCTAGCCGTCATCACAGCCCGACTGGCCGCCACAGGCATGGGTGTCAATCCCGTCAGCGGATACTTTCACGACCATTTGTTTGTTCCTGAAGGGCGCGAAGCAGATGCCCTTGCGGTCCTTCAAGCTATCGCCGTCGAGAATCGTAACCTGGACACGGGCGAGGCCTCGTGAGCCTGTGTTTGCCCCCGGGCATACGGCGCTGATGAGACTGCGACCTCTGAGCCACAGTCCGCAGTCTATGAGCCTTATCCCTTTAGTTCCCGAATTTGGCCTCGGTACTTTACATGTTTGATAGCTGAGTGGTAGCAAATATATATTGCTATTTAAAGGACAGTGAACTGAATATCTTTATGCCTGCATCACCTATGTTTCACAAACAAACCCACTTTCAATCATGTGCTGGGAATGCGGGGACAGAACTGGAAAGCGAGGCCTTGTTGAGATACTGGAATTGGTCAGCATGATTGCACCATCAGCCCTGGACAAGGCTTCATCCAACACCACTGCATATCAAGTCTTGGTGGCTGACCGTGGACTCTGGGACATCCATAGAAAGCTTCCGTCCGCCCTACGTTATCTTGCACGTGTACAGGCAGCATGTCAGAGCGTTGTTTAGAGCAGAGTGAAGAGGTCTTCCGCACATAGTCCGCAGCAAATAGAACGTAGGTAGGGGGTCGGAAGACATCTGAATTCCGCCCCTCCGCAGCTTAGGGGGCCCTCCGCAGCCTATATATAGGTTCTCTCGTAACCCTTAGCCCCTAGCCAGCCCCTTAGCTTGGCAGGCCCTTGGTGGCTCCGCAGGGGTCCTGACATAGCATCACGAATGGTTCGCCACGTCGATATCGCGTGGCTGTCGATTGCTGATCCATCATATCACGCGTGGCATGCTTGTCATGCGGAGAATGTGAAGAGTTTCTCCTGGTCGTTTAAGACTCTTATCACTCACCAGTTCTCTGAGAGCTCGGCTTGTCGAATCCTCGCAGGGACGAGAGTTTATGCCGAAGCTCGGCATCCATCAAGGTTGCGGCGGGACACAGCAGAAAGCCATCTCCTCCCCAGCCGGCATGACACGGTCATCTCGTGCTGTGTTCGATTCATGTGAGGATTTGCTTAGAGCTCCTTGCAAACTGTATTCGATCTAGATCAACATTGAGGCCAAAATGCAAGGCAAAAGACACGCTCCGTGTTGCCGAGGCCTAAGAAACTCAATCACAGCGGGAGCTTTGATATTCAGCAACTCTTGTTCATGGCAACTAATTCCCACCAACGAAGTGTATGGAGGTGTGATTTTTTAGTCTGGCTACACTTCTCATCAACGTGGATTCCTTGCCATAGCATAGCCCATCCTCAAGGTCTTCTCGGAAGCTGCACACCCCTCATGGCTTGCAGACAAGCACTGGTCGGAATGCCAAGTATCGAGACGGAGAGGCCCATTTATAGCCCTAGAGCACATTCAGGACGAAAGGGTTCTGCTTATCCGTCAGATCGCGGAACGTGTAGTCATCCTCATTGAGCAGGTGCCTGTTCGTCTCCAAGAATTGCTTGCGCTTTCGGTTCTCCCAGACCATGTACACCAGGTTTGCAAGGTTGCAGCTCAGGGCGACTACCAGGGCGACAATGTTGGCCCTGAGGCCCTGTCGGTAAGGAGGCGTCGTGTACAGTTGGGGGCCGACGATGCCTGCACAAGAGAAACAGTCAGTATGTGAAGCCGCGAAGGGAGACGTGCCGTGGACGGATCTAGGCGATACTTACATCCCACAGAGTAGGTGATGAACATGATGCCCTGCGCCGTGACCTTCTTGGTATGCCCAGCAATATTGCCAGAGATTGTTCCCATGCCTAGCAAAAAGCCGCAGGGGATGAAACCCAACATGACCCAGAATCTGCGCCGCGTCAGAATGAAGCTGTCGCGAGCCGTCAAACCACCAGGGAGACTTACCCTATCATCAAAGCCCAACGCTCTTTCAGGTCAAAGGCGTACAGAATGGAAGCTCCGACAATCGAGAAGGCATTGCACAGAACAGAGAGTGCTAGCCTGGAGTTGGGAATGATTGTGGCAAGTGTACAGAAGATGAGGAGGCCGAACAACTCGATGACACCGACAGGAATTTGCAGAAGGGTAGTCTGCAGGGCTGTGAAGCCAAATCCCCGGATCACGAGACTTTGAAACTAAATGTTGAAACACGATCAATCAAATGGGCTCATCTCTGCCCTTGTAGGGACAAAAAATGGATAGGGAGACTTACCAGACCAATGCCATTCAGAATGTTGCCAGCTCCCACGCCAAATGCAGCCAACCAGACTTTGGGGTCGAGCACAGCCTCGATGGCTTGGTCTTTCTTGAACTTCTTCGACTCTACGCCAGTGCCTACTTCTTGCATTCTTCTGAGAGCCACAACACGCTGACGTTCCGATAGAAACCAGGCGGTGGCGGGGTTCGATGGGAGTGCAAACCAGAGAACCACTGCCCAAACAACGGAGAGCGCGCCGCAAATGATGAACGGGAACCTCCAAAGGCCAATATCAGAGTCGATGTGGCCCACACCGTAGGCAAAGAGGGAACCGGCAATGATGGCCAGGGGGCTCATTCCATACCATGCCATCAGACGGATTGGCTGCTCCTCGCGAGTGTACCACATGTTGGTAACGATGAAGAATGCTGCCAGCTGGATCGACTCTGCGGCCCCCAGGAGAAATCGTAGAGTGGCAAAACCTCCAAAATTCGATGCTGCGGCCATCAAGAAGGTGAACACACCCCATCCCATGACCTGCGACGCGAAGTATTTGCCAAGGGGCAGTCTCTGCAGGAGAAGGAGGGAGGGATATTGCCACACCAAGAACCCGAAATAGAAGATGGAGCTGGCCCAGGAGTACTGCGTGCCCTTCATTCCGAGATCTTCTCGCAAACCGTAGTTGGCCGCATAGTTGATGGTAGACTTATCCAAGTATTGCACAAATGCTGTGACCATCATGAGCCTAAAGGGGTGAGCTGATAAGGTTCTGAGCGTCTTCGCGGTTCTCAAGACGAAAACATGTACTTACGGTAGGAGGAAGAGGTCAATCCTGTTGCGGACATGTCTCTTCTCTTCGTCTGAAATCTCCTCGTCTTTGTTCAGCAGATAGTACTCTCGACCGACATCATCAGATGCCGATACACCTTTGAGGTCTGCATCTCATGTCAGCTGCGTCGGACTATGCATCGGGGAACATATCAAATACTCTCGGCATCCTGCTCAGGAGGGTCGGCAGGTCTTTGGATGATGTTCAGCGAGCTGACTCCAACATCAGCTGCCAACTTCTCTCCACTAGGATCGGATGCCATGGTCTTCTCGATACTGTATGGACCGTTTTGACTCGAAAAAGTTGATCTTGCGTTATAAGTCTGGCACCGGCAGTGGTAGTAAGAGGCCAAAATACAGAAGTAGTTGCCTATGAGATGGAATCTGCGTCGGACATCATCGCATCTTCTATCAAACATTTTAATGCTTTTCTTCTATTCACAGTCGATATCTTTCAGCATGTCGCCATAGCTTCAATGTCCATGGTTGTCAGTGTCGCCATCGCAGCATGGGCCGACCGAGATCCAGGAGGATGTTTAGCCTTGTGGGGACTGCGCCGACTTCCCGGACGGAAACCCTCCGACTTCATCCACTTATCAACGTGGGCTGAACCATCGATTAGCACGTCATTGTATCAGCGCGACTTCGGAAGGACTTTGGTCAGTGGACGTAGAGTCGCATCAGAAGCATTGTCACGGTTCAGTAATCTTGTCCGACTCGTTGCCTGCCGCGATTGGCGATGCTGTGCCATAGCGAGGTAGGGCCGAGGTCTGGGTCCCTAAGCAACAAGACATGAAGCTGAGATATTTACCCCATGGGAACGAGATATCAGCCCATGCCGCAATTGCAAGACGACATGATGCAATGCAATGAGGTACTTGGCAGCCGTGACCGGAGTTGCCCGGTCAGACCTCAAGATAGACGGTGGTCCAATCCAGGTTTCGGGTCCAATGAGTTGGGAAACCCTGATATAAATACATACTTGGCGGAGCCCTTGTCCCTCATAAGGCACGTGGTGTAAAGTATGAGCAGATCTGTCTACTCATGAACCCTTGTTCACGAATTATATTGCCGAAAAGTCAAAATGACAGCGTCGAAGGATATCGTCGATCTCGTGGCCAAGGCCAATGCGCGTGGTCCAACATCTGGCTTCACAGACGTTGACGACGATGCAGAGGAGTTGCCGACCGAGTTTGATATTGAAAACGCTCAAGTGTTCAAACCTCTCAAGGTCGGTGATCTAACGCTTCAGCACCGAATAGTACACGCGGCGTTGGGCCGCTCTCGAGCCATCAACTCAGCTGAAAGCCCTTTGGCGATCAAGTACTTCGCGCAGCGCACAACGCCGGGCGCACTCATGATCTCCCAAGCCACTGGAGTCTCACTGGAGTCCAAAGCTTGGCCCTGGTCAGCAAACCTGGAGACAGAGGAGCAAAAGACTGCCGTCGCAAACATCGTTCAGGTTGTTCACGAGAAGGGCGGGTTCTGGTTCCAACAACTCACCCACGTAGGTCGGTGCACCTCACCAGGTCTTGTCAAGCTCGCTCGAAAGCAAATTGGCCTCAAGACCCCGCCTTACTACGGCTACCTTCCGGTTTCTGCGTCAGCTGTGGCCGAATCAGGAGTTAACACTCATTCTGGGGAACCATTCGGCGTCCCGCATGCCTTGACGGTTGAGGAGATTCAAGGCATAGTGTCAGACTTCAAGCGCGCCGCCACCCTGGCTGCTAGCGCTGGTGCAGATGGAATAGAGGTATGTCAAAAATAGTCTTTCTAGTTGGGGATTGAAACTTGTCGAGCAACCCACCGAAGGTTTGGGTTACTAACCGTCTCTGGGCTAGCTTCTCGCGGGAAACGGCTTTCTTTTGGACCAGTTTCTCCACGATAACATCAATCAACGCGAAGATCATTATGGCGGATCCGTCGAGAATAGAAGTCGATTTGTGCTGGAAATAGTCGATGCTGTTTCTGAAGTCGTCGGGTACCAACGTGTGGGAGTTCGTCTGAGCCCCTTTTCTAAGTGAGCCCACAGTTTACCCCTTTCTCTTCCCAATGCGTTAACATCAAGTTCACAGCTTCCACGAAACGGACGGCTCGCAACCCTTGGAGCAGTCGCTTCATCTCAGCCGTGAACTCGCGCAACGGGGCGTTGCATACCTTCATGTCGCCGAGGGCCGCGTGTCCCGTAACTTGGGGATCGCGGAAAATCTCGCAAGGCTCGCTGCCAAAGGCATCGCGCCAGAGGATGTTTCCCTGCGGCCGTTCCGCCGTTTGTTGGCAGAGGTCAAACCTTCCAAACCCGAGTACACACCTACAGTCCTAGTCGGCAATGGAGGCTACACTGCCGCTTCGGGAATTCTGACTGTCGAAGAGGACCAGGCCGACGCCGTTTCGTATGGTCGACGCTTCATCTCGAACCCAGATCTTGTGCAGCGTCTTCGCCTGCGTAGACAGCTGACTCCGTATGACCGTAGCACATTCTACACCCACGGTGCTGAAGGATACACCTCCTACGGCGACTCGGAGACCTCTAAGGAAGACACGTCTCTGTCCAACAATCAACCAGCCCCCCAGGATGTCACTGCGTCTGAGGCCACCGAAGCCAACAAAGACGAAAGCCCGTTACAAGGGAATGCCCAGACGCAGGAACCTCGTCCTAAGCGTGTTGCTGTCATTGGTGCAGGGGTTAGTGGACTGGTCACAGCAGCTGCCTTCAACCGTCTTGGCGGTTTTGAACTGAAGATCTTCGAGCGCAAGAGTGTACCCGGCGGCGTCTGGGTCTACGACCCAGTGTCGACGACTGTTCCGCAGTTTCCGGCCCCTGAACCTTCGCAGATTGACCCGCCGCTGCCGCGACCGGATATTGCTCTGCCTGGAGATGCGCCTCATTCCACACGCCAGCGTTTCCTTTCGTCTCCGATCTATGATTCTCTCGTGGCAAACATCCCATACAGCGTGATGGGAGGCACAACGGAGCTGACGCTTCCTCCTCCGGCCAACACTGAGAGCCAGTATCTGACCGCCCTCGAGGTTTCAGAATTCATCAGCAAGGCTGCCACGAAACACAATTACCTGATTCAGTACAACACTTCGGTCGAAGACGTCAGAAACCTTCCTCAGGGTGGTGTCAGATTGCTGCTGCGCAGAGAGAACGCCGGAGGCACCGACACCTGGTACGAGGAAGACTTTGACCACGTCGTTGTCGCCACAGGCCACAACAGCGTGCCTCGCGTCCCCGAGATCCCCGGGCTTGAGTCATGGAAGGGCGGTCTGCAGCACGTCGTGACCTGGCGCTCGGGAGAGGAGTTCAAAGACAAGACAATCCTCGTCATCGGCACCAGTGAGAGCGCAATCGATCTCGTGCTTCAGTCGTTGCCTCATGCCAAAGGTGACGTCCATGTCTCGCAGAGGACGCCGCACCCCCGTTATCCAACCATCTTCCAGCGTCCAGGCGTCAAGGTCGTCCAAACCATCGATCACTTCACCGAGGATGAGATCCACCTCGTTGACGGGACAGTGTTGCGCGACATTGATCACGTCGTGTTCGCCACGGGGTACTTCTACTCGTCCCCCTTCCTCGCCAATGTCCGCCCGCCCCTAGGCCCGGGAGGCCACCGTGTGCCTGGTCTGTATCAGCACATCTTCGACATCCACAGCCCAAACACCATTGCCTTCGTCGGTGTGGTCAACGCGTCGCTGACATGGCTGACATGGGAGAAGTCGGCCTTCCTGATCGCGCTCCTGTGGTCGGGTAAAATTCACCTGCCGAGCAAGGAGATTCAGGAGAAATGGGAGCAAGACCGACTTGAGGAGAAGGGCGAGCGCTTGTTCCACATTCTGGATCTTCCTTATGAGCGAGTGTTGTTCTTTGACGAGATCAACGAACTCGCGGCAGAATACCTGTCGCAGGAAGGGGCTGACGATACACTTCTGCGCGGGTTCCCGTTTGAGTTCATACTGGATCTTATTGCTGGGCGGCCAGCGAAACTCAAGCATTACGGAATCTCGGAGGATGTCGGTGGCAGGGGTGTTCCTGGTGCAACCGCCGTGATCCTTGACAGTGCTGATGTCGAGAACCGCGGTGGACAAACAGACACACCTACCTCAGCGGACTCTGGCGTGGATTTCGTCTCTGCTGAGGCCAAGTTGTTGGCGTTGGAGGATAGAAATATCCAGCCAGTGCATCATCAAGTACAACAGGCACCGGCGGTGATCTCAGCGGCATAGTGGGCGATGATGCTGCAGCTGCAGTTGATACTCCAAGTAAGGTAGATAGCTAGAAATTGCGAACTTTCGACCGATTTCCTACTGTGGGTGTTCCGACTAATGAGAATGCCTTCTGATAGCTCATATTCTCCGTAAATAAGATCCCAGTACGCGATTTCCGACTAGTCATAGCGAAAACCTCGCGGTCGAGGTTGGCGACGTAAAGGTACTCGGCATTTACTCATCCAGCCGGGGCAGCTCGGTAGAAAGTACGTCGAAGTCGCAGAAATCCGTCCGCTCGACACCGGCATATAAATTTCGGAGGGCAGCATGGTGTGGCGCTTCTCCGTTTCTACGAACCGAGCACGCCAGCGTTGCCGTCACGCTATGGGTGATCAGTACCAACCAAGGTATTGGGTCAATGAGCGACACACCCTGCTACCCCCGGGGATCGGCCGGCATGGGCCCAACGAGATTCGCCCCGAGTTCCTTGAGTGTCGTACGTGCCTAGGAGAGGAGTTGGCTCCTGTCAGTGCATGGTTTAGAGCAGAGTGACGGGGTCTTCCACAGGGTCCGGATACAGCAACTTACCCCCTGTAGATAAAGTATCTACTCAGCGTATTTACTTTGGGCGGCGTAGACGTCTGTTTGCCTCTTATAGGATTTGCCCCCTTCGGGAGTTCGGACGTGACATATATCACCATCATCATCGACAGTACTGCTTCGTTCGAGCTCGCACTGTCGGGTGCAAACCATTGGTAAAGCAGCAAGGAGTATTCCTGAGAACCGCTGACATAGACCCGCGCGTCAGAAACCTGATATGATTCCTTGCGTAGCGGGGCCCTTGTCATGAAGTATGACGAAAGAGGTACTCCGGCAGTCATGTCACTTGACTACAGTAACCATTGTGAGTTGAGTCCTATCAATCGGAAGCACCTACTGAGATGACCTGACTATATATGTATGGTCATTCACGTCGCCGCACCTCGCTAACCAGGCCATGCCCAAAAGACCAAGCTCGAAGGGACGACTCTTAATGCAACTCTGGCCAACTCATGACTGTTAACGGTCCTCTATATCGCGACTGAGAGTCGTGTTGAATTTGCACGAGCTGGACTTTGATCTGCGTGTCATTAGCTGCCTGGACGCAGTATCCGGAAGCCTAATCACTTGTCTGAGACCTGTCGTTCGGGTCCACCTCGACACTAATGAACGACACCAGGTCCGTGGATGCCCACCTGAACCCCTCTGGATGCAGCACGACATCCTGTGAACGCTCCCGTTCTCTCGGGCATAAGCGCGAGGCACACGCGATGCGAAGAGCACGCCTGCCTCAATGAACAGTCACGTCAACGGACAATCAGCTGCCGTCAAGAGGCAGGGCTCGGCAGTGTGCCCACTTAAGCCATTGGACATTACATCACAATCTACATTCATCCTCACAATACGAACTTCGGTGTAGGCCGAGCAGCAAAGTGAGCCTCGACAGCATGCATTTGTACAGCCACGCTGAGTGCAAGTGACTCACTCGAGCGGATCATCCACCTCGTAATACGTCCCATGTCCTTCGCACCAAACCTGTCTCTCAGTCTGATACTTTTGTCGACGCAGCAGGGGGGATGGCACATCAGATTGTGAACCAAACATCGTCAAGGATAGTGTTCAAGTGAAGCATCCCCACACCCACACGCACTTACACGGCGTGCTGCAACAGCTTACCACTACTTAATGGGTAGGAGTAGGTTTGCCAACAGAGGCATCGTGGCAACCGCAAGCTATGACAAGGTCAGATGATCAGCGGACGCCAGTTCATCAGACAAGGGCGGGGGGTTGCTTACCGTTGTACGCGGCGTCGTGGACGGCGTAGCCGGTGTCGTAGTTGCAGAACTCGGGTAGGCAGGTGGCGATCGCCCAGGCCATGACGCTGAAACCGGTGTACTCGCATTGGCAGGCGAGATCGTCGATATCGCAGTTGGCGGCGGCGGCGCCCTGGGTCCAGCAGGCGGAGGCGCAGGCGGGCATGGTGCTGGTGGCATAGGCCTCGCACGAGGTGGCCTCGGAGGTCGGGTGGACGGTGATGCGGGCGCGGGGGCTGGTGGTCCAGACCGGGATGCCGAAGCAGTCGCAGGCCGAGGCGTAGGCCGCACCGTCGCGGCAGGATGAGGCATAGGCGGGGACCGTGGCGGTGGGGGCATCCTGACGCTCCTCGACGGCGAAGGCTCGCTCGGCGATGTCGGCAGGGCAGTCGGTGGGCTCAGCGTCGCTGGTGGTCCAGACGACCTTGGTGATGGTGCTACGGCGAGGTCAGCCATGGGTATGCCTACGTGACGGATACCTCGGGCACACTCACCGAGGAGGACGGCTGGAAACCACCTTCTGGAATTCGGAGCAGTCGGCCCTGCGGGACTCCAGGGGCAGGAGTCCGGCACGGGTGCCGGTGACCTGGCGGTTGCAGTTGTTGCCGGCACAGGCGCGCTCCTCGAGGGCAGCGCCCAGGGCCAGGGAGACGAGGGAGAGAATAGCAGCAGCCTTCATGTTGGAAGTTGAGGGGGATATCTAAAAAAAATAAAAAAAATAGATTAGATCAGGCCTGGCTGTAGTGCTTCTCTGTCGATCGGTGCAGGATGAGGAGGACAAACAGAGCAGGTTTCGCGGGGCTCCTGGGCCTCCCTTATGTAGACGGCAACCCGGTCTCGCCTGGACATGGCAACAGACATCGCGGCTCAACATGGCATTGAGTCCTCGCCAGGCACCGGCGGTAGAATAAAGTGAGCCATTTTGTGCAATCCAGGCCCGGGTACACCCTGCCCCATGGGCGCACTCGCAGTAGCTCAGGCCATCTGACTACGACTCACGCCTGCTGCCAAGGAGACGTAGTTGCCAAATACTATGTGAAGCCCCGGTAGCGGCGCTCAGGGTGCATCACAACATGCAGTTAGGATATGAGCCAAGGTTGCCGGGCTGCGTGCTAAGCCACCGCATCCCGCGTTCACCTACGCGAGAAGAGTTTTCCCAGTCGTATGACTGTCAACAGGGTCGAAGCGCTACTCGGTTGCTGTCCCTGAGCCTTGGCGTCAGCTAGCTCTGTATGGGGGCTGATCTTATCTGATGCAACTCTGATCTGGGCCGCCAATCAGACACAGGCACTGGGTCGTGTTGCGGGGGAGGCTTTTCTCAGGCAGCTGGATATGGCTTGACGATGACCCCGAAAGGTGCGTCAGTGCTGCTATGCTGCATTCCATTTCGACAGAGAGCACCGAAGAAACAAGTGCCGTGGAAGGCCACGCTTTGGCAGGCCAAGGAGATCGTGGCCATGCAATGGCCCAAAGAACACATGCTGATCACAGCACTGTCTGGCGAATGTGAGAACCGAAGGACCCCGATCCCGTTTGGTCGGATAAGCTAGTGCTAGTACCACTTCTAGCTTTGAAGCTAGGTGAACAAGCCGTTTCTTCGCTTGCGGCCCTGGCTGTTGCAGTCATTTCCTGCACACTAAGCGATGACAGAGCGGGCATGCTTAATTCTTGGCATGGTTTGGATTTCCAAGTCCGCGGGGTGACATGCCAGCTCAGGGACCGGCGTAAGCAGTTGAGGCGATTTTCAGAGAGGAATTGGTGCTCCCTGGAAAGGACTTCTTGCGTTTTGTGTCGTCACTAGTAAGCAGACCATTTGAAACTTCAATTCGATATCAGGCACCATGACGTTGCTTCCAGTCAATCTTCCTTCGCCTTGCCTCGTGTGTTCATGATGACGGGCATTGCTTCGGCTTGAGCTCGGAGTGATGGGTCGGGTTTTTCGGTGGTCTTGAAGAGGTAAGAAAGCTCCATCCTAGTCACAATCAGGCTGTCGAATGAAGATTGAGCTGAGCGAAACCCACGCAACCGAGCCGACGACCGAGCCGCTGCAAAGGAGATTCGGCTCAGTTCGATACACTGAGAGCGCTTGACTAGGTAGGTAAGGAGAAAGACATACTGGAACGCGCTACCATTTGTCACTAGTCCAGCCGATGAAGATCCACGGTCCGTCACGATTGTGGTTGTTATCGGTTTCGAGCGTGAGCCTGCTGATGGTCAGGACTCAGGTTGTCAGGGGCACTTCGGGGCCAGCTGGAGCCAGATGCGCAGCAGGGATCCCGCAGTTGACCCAAGGGCAGTCTTAGAAAAGTAGGCGGCCTAGGCCCATCCATCAGCTGGTGGCCATAGTTAAGCTTTGTCTCTGGTCGACGTCTTCGAACTACACTGCTGTGGCGCGCCGCTGTTGAACTCTGATCCCGCAGTCCATCTCATCAATGCCAACAGGTCGATAGCTGTTGGGAGGGCACCTTTCACACTACCTCGCGACGACCCTTACACACAGCTCGGTACACTCACAATAACGGCCTCCAACGGCCTTGGGGTAGTGTGCGCGGCCAGCTTGAATGCATTGGGCGTGTGCGCACTTGAGAGTCCACCACTTCGCGACAAGCTGTCTCTGTCGAGGGCAAGTTCTGCTTCAGCTGCCCAGTCACACCGAAGTTACCAAATCCACACGCTCCCTGGAGCCGAAAGCGACTTGTGATTGCCTTTTGTGGTAATGCCGAGATGGGCTAAAGCATGCCCAAGGAGGACACCAACGAGCAAGAATTAAGTCGCCGGGAAGGGGTGATCGCTGGCAGGGACAAATCGCTGCCTGGGATATGTCGCTACTGGGGGAAATTCGCCGCCTATCTAGGACATAGCGCTGATTGCTTCTTGAGGCCGATCGCTAGGCAGGTCGTTCCATAGAACCGCAACCTCGTCGTCATAGAGGTCCCAATCCCACCCAGTGGCAAGGGACACGTGTTTTCTTCCTTGAGCCTCTCCTTGGTCTTGATATAGAGTCTCAATGACGACCCCGCCGTCAGCGTTGGTATCGCCGATGTTTCCGCCAAGGTTCCTCGTCTCGTCCACGATGTTTTTGAGCGCCAGCCGTTTCGTCGACTGTAACATCTTCGTAGTGGCATTCGTCGTCACTGTTGTCGCTGATGTCGTCGTCACTAATCCAGATAACGTCGTGGACGGCAACAGGTTGGTAGTTTGCTTGAGAAGGCCTGAATATGACCATGATGGTTGGACGTGGCGAGCAGAGAAGGAGAAGTGGGAAGAGATGAGAAAAGGGGTACGTTTGCCAGCGACGAGAAGGGCAGCGCAGAGCCCTTATAGACCCAGGAGCTGGTCGGGGAGCATGAGCGTGCTCGAAGACCCTTTGGTATCTGCTATGCGAACCAAGGCGAACTCGGCTGTCGTCAACATGAGAGAGCACGCCCGAAGTTCCGGTGGCTGTGTTTAAACCCTATCTTCATGGCGCCATCCTCGATAGGCAATCAACCACAGATTGCAGCTCCATCGTGAAGGAGACGGTTCCTGTCTTGGCTGGTTCTCGTTTTCTCTTGCGAGCCTGGCCTTTCGGGCTGAGCAGGCCGAGAGGTTGGCGGTTGTCGAGCTTCGCCCGCTCAAAGTCCACGATCACGACTTGACCACTGGCTGCATCATACAATATATAGCGGGGTTTTCCGTCACAAAGGAGAACTCCAATTTTATACAGCTCCGTAAAAGCGATGCTGGCCGCGTCGACGACTGCCTGCCTTTCGGGTTAGTCGTAGCATTTAAACAACGGTTGCCCGGCCCAACTGACTAACAGAAGGTGCTCAAACACACCGATATCATAGTGCAACGAGAGTGCCGGGTCTACCATCCCGAGGCATACCGGGACGTCCTTCCCTTGGATGACTCTCAGTCGATCATAAATGGTGTTCTTGTGCCGTACCAGGCCGAGATCGCACCCCTCCACGCCTTTAGCAACGAATGTATAGCCATGGGACGTTAATCGCAATTTAAAGCGACCCGACCGCCCCGGATAGGTGAAGGGGAACACAGTCCGCATTGATACCACAGTCATTGGCCAGCTATGCTCGTATGAGACGAAGAAACTCTGATCGGCTGAGAGATCTTAATTTGTGGTCTGCAAAATTCGGAAATTTATCGTCCATCGGATCACTAGACACTAACGCTAGCAGGAACTGCTGAGTATAGAATGGTCGGTCTTGTATTTTCTGTTGCGTCGTTTGGCCCTGTTGCCGTTCCCCTCCGCTGTGTTGTCCTCGTTTCCTGGTCGAGCTTGCCCCTGCGGATGACGCGGTTGCCACGTACTTGGAATGGTTCGGTCCTTTCGGAGTGGGGGCAGGAGAAGCTTCTTCATCATCGTCCTCGCCGTCGCGATCCTCGATAGTGTCATCCGGTGGCTGGTAACGAGATCTGGTTCGGGTGGGCGATCGCTCGAAGCCGCGCTATCACCCGGGTTAGTAAGGAGACGCGCTAGGTGCCTTGCCCTTACGTGCTATTTCCGGGATATTCCTCAGCATGTCATATACTCCATAACCCAGGTGTCATATCCGGCGGCAGCGTCATGTCAGGATGAAGGAGGCGGTGTCGCGCAGAGGGCCCGGAGGATGAAGGCGAAGACCTGTCAGCGGCCGTACGGTGCAGCCTTTTTTCGTCATCATCCATGACGTCCAGTCAGGCACGCTCACGGAATAGGAGACAAGAGTGGGACCGCTCGGTATGTGGAGGAAGATGAAGGCTCCCCCCGTACCTTCGTAGCCGTACTGGATGCCCTTGCCGATCATATAGGAAAAGAGCCTGCAGGTCGTCATGGACCACTACCCGGAAGGCACATCTCAACTGCTGCCCGGAAGGACAGTCTACTTCCCACCCACCCTTCTTCGTCAACGATCCCCATTCTCTTCTCCTACACAACCTCCCATTTTTCTTTGTTACACAATCTCCCGTTCAAAAAGTCATTCTCTTTCCGTTTATTGGCCTATGCAAAATGCCCAACATTCACAAAATGCTAGACTATGGACTCTTACGTCTGATGTTCATCGAACCCCAGTCGGTCAGTACTTGTCAGGAGACCCCTAGGGAGCCTCGGCACAGGGGGCTAGTCAGGGGACTAAGGGTAACGAGCGCGTATCTATCAGGACTGCGGAAGGCCCGCCAAGCTGCGAAGGGCCAGAATTCAGATCTATTCCGACCCCCTACCTATATTCTATTGGCTGCGGCCCACGTGCTGAAGACCTCTTCACTCTTCTCCAAGTCAAGCACTGACAGTACCCGTATCGATGGCCTTAGCGGTCGTTTTGATGCCCTGGGAAACAAGGTCAACGCTCTCGAGATCAAAGTCAAGATAATTGAATGTAAGTTCGAGCAGACCTTCTAAGACATTGGCGAATCTTTCCGTAAGGTAAAGGTTAACGTGCTTCAAGTCAAGGGCAGACTCATTGGAGATATTGAGCATAGAGGGCTCAAGGAACGTCGTCTGAACGCAACGTCATTTAGATCTAACGCTCTACATCTTTTAATGATTCCTCTAAAAGCACAAACGTCAAGATTCAAGTCGTCAATAAAGCAGTCTCGTTTGCCAACGCGAAAGCCTCATGGGAGCCTCTTCACTCGATCCACCCGAATATCCCAATTCAAGAATTTCCGCTGTCGCTCTCCCACCTCATGAGCATTCCC